GTCTTTTGCTGCGCTGGCCCTTTTTCTAGAAGCTCTTTCCCAGTCCCTTGGCTTTTAGTCCGTTTAATTGAAACTGAAATAAATACTACTTTTTAAAAATATCTTTCTTTATAGTTACTGTGACTTTTTGACAATTTTTTGTTTTTATATATAATTATACTTACTGATGACGACCTGCAAAAAATGACTAATACTCAAATTTAATCATTAAAACACGGAAATACGTTTGGCCAAGAGAGAATGATCTATTTTGGCTTAGCTTGAAGTAGCCTGCGTGGCAGGCGTTTGAAAGGGAAGGGAAAGGGAGTTTGCGAGAGAAACGCGAGGGGCGCGCGTTTCTCTCGCGCCTAAAACTCCCTTTCCCTTCCCTTTTAAAACGCCGGCCACGCAGGCTAAGCTTGAAGGGACTCTGCGAATAGCTAAAATCGAATATCAAAATCTTCTAATAGGCTCAACTCTTTTTCGGTTGTTTAGATATGGCATTGGAGCTTGAACATTGGAGAATGAACAACGTCGGCGACGGCTACGTGCAAAGTTGTTGTTTTGCTAATATAAACCAATTGGTTTTTTTGCCGTTCTCGTTGCCGTCGCCGTCGTCGTTGCCTAAGCTCCCTATTCTTTTACTGCGTGGGGAAGAGAGTGGAAGAGAAACGGAGTTTGGGCTTTCTTGTGGCTGTATTTTACAAATCCTTTTTTGACCAAGCTTTTTCGGTCGAGACGCTTGGATGTTGGCCTCGTTCTTTTTTGCGATTTTATTGTCCTCGACTGTGTTCGTCTCGGCCCATAAAAATGCAATAAAAGATTTGCCACTATAATTCAGCAATCTTAACCTCACGCTTGTTCAATAACGCATGCGCATGTGGCAGCTTAACTCTCAGCAAAATAACATGTTTACTAAAACAGGTTTACCAACAAAAATTGTTCAAAAATGCCTTTTTTGTATAGGGTCCAAGTATTTATATGGATTTTCCTTTGTACCAATTTGTAGTTAACTAGACTGAAAAAGTTGACATTCTTAGACCGTTTCTAACAAGAGAGCATTTTTAAAGGTGATGAGTTTTTGGCATAAATGTAAAACTAGAGAGCCAATCCCGTCGGGTTTCATCAAACGTGGGCAACTTCAAAAAAGAACGGCGCTTAACGAGAAATAAAAAAAGAGAAATTTAATTGGTTTTTCACCCGAAGCGACGGCCGCAAATGCAGTACATCTGTAGTCGCACTGGAGAGATCTAGGGATGGTAGAGCTTTTACATATGGGTTCACGTGACCTATCTCGTGCCAAAATTTATGGACACAAGTTTAAAAAAATATATAGATGGAAAGAGAATTGAAAATATCATAGGCCTATCAATTTTGAGGCTTTTAATTTCTCAACAGCGAGACTTACTGACGGTTTAAATAATGATTAAATACAATCTGTCCAAGGGGAAACACCGCTCACGCGTGCGCCTTAATTGCAAACTAGAAAATAGGAAATTTGCATATGGTCACCTCTTGAGTGCAAATCAAAGCCTTCCCCGCAGCATTTTCTCTTATTATGTGGTGTAACTGATCTAATAAACCTATTCCTGATCACTTATAGTTTTTACGTTTATTTCTTTTAAGCGCGTAGTTGAATTTAACATCATAGCGCATGTAGTTCATCTAACAAATAGATGGTTTTCCAATTTCTTAAGATCTCTTAATAACTTCCTGTTTAGCTGGTATTGTTCCCAAATTAGAATGATAGGCAAGGTCGTGTGCCAAGTAAGCAAGCAATTAACTGAGGGAAAGTAAGGTCTGTAACCTGACAAAATGTTATCGAAGCAATTCGAGGAATATGAATAGAATACAGTTGACCCCGATAACTCACTGCAAACTTTATAAATTAAGAGTTTATCAAGAGCAGCTGGTCATACCTTCCTTCCTTAGACGAAGATAAGACGTTTGCCCCTCCATGATTTAAACTCGAAAACAATGACAAGTTCTGAAGAAGTGAACATCACAACCACGTTGACCCAAGTAATCCCACTGCAAACAGATGTGGCTGTATTTCTGTCAGCTTTGAATATCTTCCTTGCTATCACAGCTTCTGTTGGCAATGCCTTGATCCTGAATGTTCTCCCCAAAGTAACTTCTCTTCACTCACCAACAAAACTGCTATTTGGAAACTTAGCGGTGACTGATCTCTGCGTTGGACTTATATCGCAGCCTCTTTTCGTAACAATTCGGCTTAGCGCTGTTATAAAGATGACCTTAGATATCCAGTACTACCTTATGAACATTGCAAATGCCTTCGATTTCATTTTGTGTGGAGTTTCCATCCTCACCTTAAGTGCAATAAGTGTCGATAGACTTCTTGCTCTTTTGCTGGGAATAAGATACAGAGCGATTGTAAATTTAAGGCACACTCGAGCTCTTCTGTCATGTTTTTGGTTAAGTGGGATTTCTGGTGTATTACTGAGCTTGTTTACGAGCTTTAGCGTCGCTTCTATAGTAGGCGTCATTTTTGTAATCATTTCTACAGTCATCTCGATATTTTGTTACACGAAGATCTTTATGACACTCAGACAAAACGAAACTCAAGTACAAAACCTAGGCCAGAGACGAGAGGGAATGCCATCTCGTATAGGGAGATACAAAAAGACGGTTTGGAGCATTGCTTGGGTGCAGTTGGCATTAATCGCATGTTATATTCCTTTTGTTATCTGTGCTATAGTGATAAAGATAAAGCATTCGAGTGGTACGACAGCGAACACTATTTGGATATTTACATTCAGTCTGATTTACGTAAACTCTTCATTGAACCCAATTCTCTACTGTTGGCGGATCAAAGACGCGAGACAAGAAGTGAAGGCCACGATCAGACGGTTTTGTTGCCGCTCAAGTTAAGTTAGACAGATAGAACGACAGTATTTTAAAGTGGCTATGTCACGAGGATATTGCTCTTTTAGGTCAGTTCTGTGCTGACCTTATCACTAAGTGCCTTTAACCATATCCAAAATATTCCATTAGAGCCGGATTTAATTCGAAGATGTCAAGTATATTTCACTGGCAAGCACTAACCATATAAAATATTTATTCGATTAACCTCCCGGAGCGCTTATTACAGTTTTGGACCTTGAGAGTGGGCGCTCAAATTCGAGGTGGGCGCTGGGCGCTTATTGAATTTTCACCGTTTTCAGCAAGTGTAGTATGTTTATTTTGCAACAAAACAATAAATGGAAATAACGAAACGCGAAGATGTAACAAAGCAAGGTTTCTGTAAACTACCCCTACTCTGAATAAAAATCCGTCTTCGGGGAGGTCTCTTTATATTAGTACTTATTCAGTTTCAATCTGATTTTACCCAAGTGGGTGGGGTAGGGGTGGGCGCTTATTCGAGGCTAGCCGCTTATTAACTTTTTCTACCTTTAGGATGGGCGCTTATTCGAAGTGGGTGCCAATTCGAGGTTGGGCGCTTATTCGAATAAATACGGTAGTTGTTTGGTGGTTTCTGCAGGCGTAGCTTTAAAACATGAAAACTTTGGCCCAACATTTTCAAGTTTCAACCCATTTCCATCCTTGTCATGCGTTGCAACAGTCGACATCAAACACTTTCTGATCCTTTTACGTTTCTGTGAAACTGCTCACCTACCCCTCCCCTAAACCAACATTAACCCTTAGTTCTTACTTAGGGCAAAATGTTGGCTATGGGAGGGGTAGGTGGGCAGTTTCCCAGAAACGTAAAATGATCAACAGTGGATTAGTTTCAATGCCTAAATATAGACTTAAATAAGAAAACTAATATTTTGGAATAAAATTGAGGCGAATGCAGATTTAGGCTTAAAGATGGGAAATAGCGTGACCTTATGAGGGTTTCCAGTATAATTAACAATTATTCCTCGAGCCCGAAGAGCCTATTGAGCCTATTGACTCAGAGGCCATGAGGGTGAGAGGAATAATTGTTTTAGTGAAATCCAACTAGTTCGTCAAAAATATCGAGAATAAAAAAATTTTAGCTGCTCAAAGCTAGACTTTAATCCTTTTTTGCCGCCAGAAAGCCGGCGCTTTTCGCTACCAGTCGGCTATAACATATAGCCTAGTAGTAGCTCAACCAATCAGAACGCGGCATTGATAACAGACCACTAGTTGGATCTTACTAATATTTAATAGCTTTCTCTCTTTACACACCGTTTAAAAACAAGCAGGTGCGTATTATCAGGTTTAAAAACTACGACTGCGAGTTTTTTTTTTTTTTTTCACAGTGAACGGCTTCATAATCTCTATAGATCAACTCATTCTTGCACTAATTCTTAGATTTGGGGTTATTTCGGTCTAAAAAACAAAACGTCAAAGTGTAGCCGGTGCATTTAGTTGTCCGCTTTATCAGATATACTACACTCATAAACATTAATTTCTTCATTTTTTTTATGAATCATTAAAAAATGAGTTTTTATCAAGTTTTTGAACTAGTTATAAAGCATCGTAAAACAAACAATTCAAAACGGACGCGTATATCTAAAACATTAGACACTAGCCTTAAATTAAAGACGAGAGCGGTCAACAAAAATAATACCTGAGAAGGTGCATTATAATCTTTGCGATTTTGGTGAAACTCTGTTCAACGCAAGGCACTAATTCGCACTATATGTAGCCTGTTCCAGGCGTTCAGATGGTCGGGAGCGGGCGAAAAATGGACGTTTCTTTTTGCGCTCGCCGCGTACGATGTAACTTGCTCCCCACTATCTAAACGCCTGGGACAGGCTACACTATATGTAGCCGAGAAAATGCCGGCCACAACAGAATTTCGACTCAGACCCTAAAGAGGAGTGGCACTATAATCACGTGACATTTACTTCGATCGCCAACAATTTTATGCTGTATTGTAAATTGATCTATATGTTATCCATGCTATATGTTAGACTTATTACGATCAAAGGAAAGGTGGGGATACCAGAGAGCTTCAAAGTAGGATGGTACCCCCAAAAACTGGGTCGAGTCACCTTAATCGCAAACTAGGAAATAGAAAATTTGCATATAGTCACCTTTTCAGTCAAAATAAACGCCCGCCCTGCAGCTAAGCATTTTCTCTTATTATAGCGTAACTGATCTAACAAATCTTTTCCTGATCACTTGTCGGTTTTTACGTTTATTTTTTTCTAAGCGCGTTGTTGAATTTATCATCATAGCGCGGAACAGAGTCGAGGATTCATAGACTTCAAACAAGCCTGCGAAGTAGGTCATCTATCAAAAAGATGGTACTCGTAATTTTAAAAGCAATTTCTTAAGATCTCTTAATAACTTCCTTTTCAGCTGGTATTTCGATGATATTGTTCCCGGGCCAAGGTTGTGCGCCAAATAATTAAAGCAAGCAATTAATTAAGGGACATTAAGGTCTGTAACCTGACAAAATGTTATCGAAACAATTTCAGGAATATGTCGGCGTCTGACATATAATGTTCTAAAATGTTCTGCAATTGGTGTAGAATTTAATGAAGCCGAAACCAATTGTGGAATTGCACGCATTTTAGGCATCCTACTGATGAACAGTTACGAAAAATACATATATTTTTTAGCAACTACTATAATTTGCAGTCTGTCCACTTTGAATATAATCTTCACTTTGAATAGACACAGTTGACTCCCGAGAACTCGAACCTCCCACTAACTCGAAGGAATTTTTACTTTCCTTCTGGACATCTCTACATCATTTTACCCTCGATGGCTCGAACTATGTTAGTAGTGGTAGAGGGTCAGAATTAACCCCGGTTGGTGGATAGGTAAGGATAGTTTAGGGATAGTCTATGACGTCACCCATTGTCATAACCGAGGGAAAAAATGCCTTCCTCCATACTATGAATAACTGTCTTCCTGCATACTAATTCGGTATAGCTTTACTGATGAGCGAATACTACAATAGGAACAATAGGCTTGCCTAGGCTTGCCTGTTAAGTAACTTGAGCCTGGTTTGAACGTCTATTAAAAGGCAAAGATAGGAATAAGAGAAGCGATCACCTAGCAACGCGAGAAACGGCTTACTATATCTTATTTAGCGCTAAAACTCGGATATAAATAAACAAAACACATACACAAAGTAGAACTGAAAACTCTCTATTTCAATTTTGTCTTGTTTGCCCGACTAAAACTACCAATTACCATGTCTACCAGACATGGTAATATGTTGCAACTCGTAACTCATTTTAATTTTTATTGGTTGGAGTCTAGCGAAACATTTGTCTGTACAACATAAAACCCTTGTGTGTCATTGTGGAAAAGAACACTTTTTGTGACGCAGTCAAAGTAAGGCACCTCGACTCTACATTACAGCACGAAGAATGGTGAACTTAACGGAAGGTTTATACATTGCGATAACAGCTGTAAATATTGTTTTCTCCATCACGGCATCTCTGGGCAACATTCTGATCCTGATCGCTCTTCGTAAAGTGACTTCTATTCATCCGCCGACAAAACTGTTGTTTCAATGCTTAGCAATCACTGATCTCAGCGTTGGTCTCATTTCCCAGCCACTCATGGCCACCGTGATACTCCTGGTTGATAACATTGACATCAAAATTTGGAATGTCTTGTTTTTCCATCTATTGTGGTCTTCATCCATTGCTTTTTGTGGAGTATCGGTTTTCACATCAACTGCCCTGAGTGTGGACAGACTTCTCGCCCTGTTTTTGGGGTTGAGGTACAGACACGTTGTAACACTGAAGCGAATTCGCGCAGTTCTTGCTTGTGGTTGTTTAGCCTCTCTATTGATTGTGTTGGTTTGGAATCAGTTTGGGGGAAAAACCGCCAGGATTATAATTACAATTTACTTGACACTCTGTCTCATTATCTCACTGTTTTCTTACACGAAGATCGTCCTTAGACTTCGGCAGCAAGGACAAGCGAACACAGGAGGAAGTCCATTGAACTTAGAACGATATAAGAGGACTGTTGTAAGCGTAGCTTTGGTGCAGCTGGCATTAGTTATATGCTATTTTCCGTTTGATATTTTCAATACTTTGATTCATCTAACGGATATTCACCCTAGCATTTGTTTTCTTTTGGATTTTACGTCTACAACTCTCCTTTTCCTAAACTCGTCTTTAAACCCGTTTCTGTACTGCTGGAGAATCAAAGAAATTCGACAAGCGGTGAAAGCCACAATCAGAAGGTTTTGTGCGTGTTTAAGTCAAGGAACATCCACTCTATCTACGAATCAGTAAAAATTATTGTGTAGCAGCAGCTCATTCTCTCTTTGTAATAGTAGTGTCAACTGAAAACCAATAACTGAAGCCAATAACTTGAAAAAATCAATAAACACCAACTTTCGTTAAAGGTTTATCGATATTTGAGATAAAATAAATAAATAAATATTCAGACCCTCCCCCCCTCGCTAAAAAGTTGAATAACTTCAAAACCGTTCAAGTTATGACCACCAAACTTATCGACTTTTCCTATAAAAGGTTTATCGATATCTGAGATAAAATGATAATTAAAAAAAGTAACTTTAATTTTGACCATGTTTTAGCCATCAGAACCATATTCCTCGTGTTAAAAATATGGGCCCATTTTATCAAAAGTGATATTTTTTAAACTTTCGGTTTCTTTACTGCTTAACGATAATCTGGAATTGTTTTGAATTCGTGTTGGATTTCACTTTATTAACCCTATTCAGAGACCCCCCCCCCCTCGCTAAAAAGTTGAATAACTTCAAAGCCGGTCAAGTTATGACCACCAAACTTAACGACTTTTCCTAAAAAGGTTTATCGATATTTGCGATAAAATGATAATAAAAAAGTAACTTTTCACCATGTTTTAGCCATCAGAACCATATTCCTCGTGTTAAAAATATGGGCCCATTTTATCAAAAGTGGTGTTTTTTAAACTTTCGGTTTCTTTACTGCTTAACGATAATCTGGAATTGTTTTGAATTTGTGTTGGATTTCATTTTATTAACCCTATTCAGAGCCCCCCCGCTAAAAAGTTGAATAACTTCAAAGCCGTTCAAGTTATGACCACCAAACTTAACGACTTTTCGTAAAAAGGTTTATCGATATTTGAGATAAAATGATAATAAAAAAAGTAACTTTTCACTATGTTTTAGCCATCAGAACCATATTCCTCGTGTTAAAAATATGGGCCCATTTTATCAAAAGTGGTGTTTTTCAAACTTTTGGTTTCTTTACTGCTTAACGTTAATCTGGAATTGTTTTGAATTTGTGTTGGATTTCATTTTATTAACCCTATTCAGACCCTCCCCCCTCCCCCCTCTCGGTAAAAAGTTGAATAACTTCAAAACCGTTCAAGTTATGACCACCAAACTTAACGACTTTTGATCTGGACTGGATAATAGGCCCAAAATATGATAAGGAGGGAAACAAGCCAATGTGTAAATTAGAAAGTACTCAATTCAATAACGTGTACTTAGTAGTTCTTTGCTTACCTGATTCCTAGTCGAATTGGAATTTAAAACAACCTCGTCCCCAGGGCACTTTTCCTTGGCTTTGGAGGTTGTTGATAAGAAGAGGGGAAAACCGGAGTGCCCGAAGAAAAACCTGGGAGCAAAAGAGAATACCGATAACAAATTTAACCGACCCATACATGGCGACGACGCAAGGATTTGAACCTGGGCAACATTGGTTGGAAGTGAGTGCTTTCACAACTCTCACCACCCATACCCCTCCCATAAAATGGCGATGGATTTAGAACCTGCCCAACTATAAGATAGATCGCATTTTATGGTAAACATCGACCGGAAAAGCAAAATGATAAATAAAATAAGAATTTATCCATGTGATAAGGTTGGTCCGTTGGTCTAGTTGAGTGATTCTCGCTTATGGTGCGAGAGGTCCCGGGTTCTACTCCAGGACAAGCCCCAACCTATTCACCATTTTCACATAGACCAACTTGTTTAGCCCTCAAAATGTTGCATAACCCTTTTTCTTCGATTTCTCCTGGGACGACCGCAATACCCAGAAAAAATTGGAAACAACAGTTATGCAAAATTTCGGGGGTTAAACAAGGTGCATCATGGGCCATGTGAATAATTCACCACTTTATTTTTGTTTTTTTTTTTATCTTTATTTTTTCTATCACTCTTCCTGCCGTAAGGATCAATTTACTGTTTAACGTTTAAATCTTGGTATGTGAAAATAGCGAATTGTGAATTTAATTTTCAGGCGTTCACCTTTTTTTGTGGCTCGGGGGCTGCCTCTTCCTCTGGCACTTCGTTTTTCGTAAAGTGGCGAGCGAGAAAGGCGAGTAACACGCGAGTGACTGGTGACGAAACGTAAGGGACCATGGGAAGGAGAAAAACGAGAAGCCCGATTTCTACTCTCCGCCCTCCTTTGCGCCCAAAGTTTTATCGAGAGAGAGACGTATGGGTACGAGGCTGGCTCGAAGGTTTTTGGTTCTAAGTGGCTATACTAGATTTTTTATTGGCCTGAACCTTCCAATGTTAAGCCTTATAACTACGTTGCCTATTAAAAGATATAGAAAACAAGAAGTCAACACAGCTTCATCCGGAAAAAGATACTAAAATTTGTTATTTGCAGTATAGACTGCGAGCAGTCTCTTTTTTTCTTTAGATTTATTGAGGGAAGTGTCTCTCCCGTTTCGCGCCTTCAGTCACGCGCGTGGTCAGTTGCGTCTCTTGCCCGTTTTGCTCGACGAGCCGATGCCCGCAGTCTGTTTGCTGTAAAAGATCAAAATCTCTGTGGCAAAATCCGTTAAGTTATAAAAGAACGGTCGATCGATGGTTAGTCTTTGCCGCCTCAATGGCATGGGTCCCTAAAATCTGTAGTCTACCTAAAGCTGCTGAAACTCAGGAATTTACGGCTTCTCCCAATAGTTACATGTATATAAACACCGTGACCTGCACTGTTCTAAACCGCTTATTTCACCGGTCCCCTTTAATCTGCACTTCCTTTGTTTTCATGGACAGGGGCATGGTTATGTGACAACCCCCATTGTTTTCCCAGCTAATTAAAAACAATCTTTCAAATAGGTGCGGGATCGCTCTATAAACAACGCTAAGTAAAACGACAAGTATGCATACAAATCAGATTCTTGTTCTAGATAACGAAAGAGTGAAATACAACCAGAAAGTACCAGTAACTTGAAGTTGTTTAAAATTCGTTTGAATTTGTGTCTTACAAGCGAAGCAAAATAGACCAGAGAACTTTCAGTGCAAGAACTCTACGTATACCAATTGCGGTAGAGAACTGTAAAGTACTATGCTGAGATTGTACCTCAACTAAAACTGTTTGTTGATTTAGACTTCTTACCCAGAAAAGTACTGACAGCAAGTATCTGTTGCCATTGAGGTTTGGCGTGAAAGCGTTTCACCGTTCCGGTTTGCGGGTACATTTTCTCGTTCACAATTTATCAATCGGATTCATCCCATCCGGTGAGCCTCCGTGATTTTGAAAACACTTTCAACACCGCATGCACGCACCCTGAGCGCCTCCGATCCTTATCGACCAGTCACAATAAGTGAAAGTTTAGTGGCTGACAGTCTTTCACGGCTACGCAGCTCCTTTTTCTTAGAGCTCTTTCCCAGTCCCTTGGGTTTTAGTTCGTTTCGATTGAAACTGAAAATAAATATTATTTTTTAAATATCTTTGTTTAAAGCTACTGTGACTTTTTGACAATTTTATGTTTTCATATACTTACTGATTACGACTTGCAAAAAATGACTAATACTCAAATTTAATCATTAATAAAGAAATGAAAATAATAAAAAAGATCCCGGTAATAAATAAATTTGTTAGCTTGAAAAGCGAATTTTTTTTTTCACAAATGAAACACTTTTTTGATTACCACTCTTAAACAGAAAAAGAAGAAAAAAAGCAGAAAAAAAATGGAGGGTTGGTCCGTGTGAGGGTCGAACTCACGACTTATCAGCACCACGCTCTGCCAACTGAGCTAACGGACCAAGCTCACGCCAATTAGAAATTTTGACCAGTAACTTTATAATCCACTGATTGAAATTCAAATGAAATGCACTTTAAGAATAATTGTATTCTAAAATTCGGTCAAAATCTTCTAATAAGCTCAACTCTTTTTCGGTTGTTTAGATATGGCATTGGAGCTTAGAATGAACAACGTCGGCGACGGCTACGTGCAAAGTTGTTGTTTTGCTAATATAAACCAATTAGTTTTTTGCCGTTCTCGTTGTCGTCGCCGTCGTCGTTGCCTAAGCTCCCTTTTCTTTTACTGCGTGGGGAAGAGGGTGGAAGAGAAACGGAGTTTGGGCTTTCTTGTGGCTGTATTTTACAAATCCTTTTTTGACCAAGCTTGTTCGGTCAAGATGCTTGGATGTTGGCCTCGTTCTTTTTTGCGTTTTTATTGTCCTCGACTGTGTTCGTCTCGGCCCATAAAAATGCAATAAAAGATTTGCCACTATAATTCAGCAATCTTAACCTCACGCTTGTTCAATAACGCATGCGCATGTGGCAGCTTAACTCTCAGCAAAATAACTTGTTTACTAAAACAGGTTTACCAACAAAAATTGTTCAAAAATGCCTTCTTTGTATAGTGTCCAAGTACTGATATGGAATTTCCTTTGTATCAATTTCTAGTCAACTAGACTGAAAAAGTTGACATTGTTAGACCGTTTCTAATAAGAGAGCTTTTCTGAAGGTGATGAGTTTTTGGCATAAATGTAAAACTAGAGAGCCAATCCCGTCGTGTTTCATCAAACGTAGGCAATTTCAAAAAAGAACGGCGCTTAACGAGAAATAAAAAAAGAGAAATTTAATTGGTTTTTCACCCGAAGCGACGGCCGGAAATGCAGTACATCTATGTTCGCACTGGAGAGATCTAGGGATGGTAGAGCTTTTACATATGGGTTCACGTGACCGATCTCATGCCAAAATGTATGGACAAAAGTTTAAAAATATATATATAGATGGAAAGAGAATTGAAAATATCATAGGCCTATCAATTTTGAGGCTTTTAATTTCTCAAAAGCGAGACTCGCTGACGGTTTAAATAATGAATAAATACAATCTGTACACTGTACAAAGGGAAACATCGCTCACGCGTGTGCCTTAATTGCAAACTAGGAAATAGGAAATTTGCATATGGTCACCTTTTCAGTGCAAATCAACGCCTGCCCTGCAGCTAAGCATTTTCTCTTATTATAGCGTAACTGACCTATAAACCCTATTCCTGATCAGCTATAGTTTTTACGTATTTTTTTTTTAAGCGAGTAGTTGAATTTATCATTATAGCGCATGTAGGTCGTCTAACAAATAGATGGTTTTCCAATATCTTAAGATCTCTTAATAACTTCCTGGTTAGCTGATATTGTTCCCAAATTAGAATGTTTGGCAAGGTCGTGCGCCAAGTAAGCAAGCAATTAATTGAGGGAAATTAAGGTCTGTAACCTGACAAAATGTTATCGAAGCAATTCGAGGAATATGAATAGAATACAGTTGAGTAGAATACAGTTGACCCCCGATAACTCACTGCAAACTTTATAAATTAAGAGTGTATCAAGAGCAGCTGGTCATACCTTCCTTCCTTAGACGAAGATAAGACGTTTCACTGACGTTTGCCCCTCCATGATTTAAACTCGAAAACAATGACAAGTTCTGAAGAAGTGAACATCACAACTACGCTGACCCAAGTAATCCCACTGCCAACAGACGTGGCTGTATTTCTGTCAGCTTTGAATATCTTTCTTGCTATCACAGCTTCCCTTGGCAATGCCTTGATCCTGAATGTTCTCCCCAAAACTTCTCTTCACTCACCAACAAAACTGCTATTTGGAAACTTAGCGGTGACTGATCTCTGCGTTGGACTTATATCGCAGCCTCTTTTCGTAACAATTCGGCTTAGCGCCGTTATAAAGATGGACTTAGATATCCAGTACTACCTTATGAACATTGCAAATGCCTTCGATTTCATTTTGTGCGGAGTTTCCATCCTCACCTTAAGTGCAATAAGTGTCGATAGACTTCTTGCGCTTTTGCTGGGAATAAGATACAGAGCGATTGTAAATTTAAGGCACACTCGAGCTCTTCTGTCATGTTTTTGGTTAAGTGGGATTTCTGGTGTATTACTGAGCTTGTTTACGAGCTTTAGTGTCGCTTCTATAGTAGGCGTCATTTTTGTAATCATTTCTACAGTCATCTCGATTTTTTGTTACACGAAGATCTTTATGACACTCAGACAAAACGAAACTCAAGTACAAAATCTAGGACAACAGAGACGAATGGGAATGTCACCTAATATAGGGAGATACAAAAAGACAGTTTGGAGCATTGCTTGGGTGCAGTTGGCATTAATCGCATGTTATATTCCTTTTATTATCTCTGCTATAGTGATGAAAATAAAGGATTCGAGTGGTACTACAGCGAACACTATTTGGATATTTACATTCAGTCTGATTTACGTAAACTCTTCATTGAACCCAATTCTCTACTGTTGGCGGATCAAAGACGCGAGACAAGAAGTGAAGGCCATGATCAGACGGTTCTGTTGCCGCTCAAGTTAGGTTAGACAGATAGAACGACAGTATTTTAAAGTGGCTATGTCACGAATATTGCTCTTTTAGGTCAGTTCTGTGCTGACCTTATCACTACGTGCCTTTAACCATATCCAAAATGTTCCATTAGAGCCGGATTTAATTTGAAGATGTCAAATATATTTCATTGGGAAGCATTAACCATATAAAATATTTATGTGATTAACCGCTCTTGGCGCTTAATAATGTTTAATTAGGACCTTGAGAGTGGGCGCTTACTCGAAGTGGGCGTTTATTCAAGGCTGGGCGCTTATTAAATTTAATTCACCGTTTTCAGCAAGTGTAGTATGTTTATTTTGCAACAAAACAATAAATGGTAATAACGAAACGCGAAGATGTAACAAAGCAAGGTTTCTGTAAACTACCCCTACTCTGAAGAAAACTCCGTCTTCTGGGAAGTCTCTTTATATTAGTACTTATTCAATTTCAATCTCATGGCACCCAAGTGGGTGGGGTGGGGGTGGGCGATCGAGGCTGGCCGCTTGTTAACTTTTTCTGCCTTTGGGATGGGTGCTTATTCGAGGTGGGCGCTAATTCGAATAAATACGGTAGTTTTGTTTGGTTAGCCTGTACACAGACGTTTTATTTTCTTTTCGTTCATTTCGAGTAGGGCAAAATGTTGGCTTAGGGGAAGGGTAGGTGGGCAGTTTCCCAGAAACGTAAAATGATCCACAGTGGATTAGTTTCAATGCCTAAATATAGACTTAAATAAGAAAACTGGGCTATTATTACCGGGGCCTAGCCGAAGGCTGGCACCGGTCATAAAATGCAACGCGTTTCTGTGTTTTCAAAGTTACTTTGTTAGGGATATATCGCTGACTGAGATATATCGCTGGCTCGTTCACGGCTTTTGGGAGTGTTCGCTGAGATATATCGCTGGTTCAGAAATTTGAAGTAGGGAGCAACAACTGTAACCATGTAAATATTAATTCGATTAGTTTGCGCACGGAATGGTTTAATGCGACTATATTTACCACTCATCAATAAATGAGATCCCTGTCTATTGCAAAATATTGTTACAGTGTTCATCCTAGCGACGACAAAGCTTGGTCGACGTAGAACTGTGTACACTACGACAAAGCAAAAATCTTAACTTATTAAACTTGCATGCGCCAAGCTTTGTTTATGCGTTTCAGTACCTTACAATTCGCACTCCCAACAGGAAACTTCGTCAAATATTTTCCGACGAACAAGTAAAACTCATTAGGAGGAAGTCTATCACTGCTTTGACTTATGAAGCAACAAAACAAAATATTTTCAAATAACCTTTGTCACGCAATATTTACTTTAGCGAGATGCGCAAATTCTCAACTGTTCAAAATTCGGGATTCCCTAACATTTTGTCTTTTCACATTATTCATTACACCTTGTTTTCATCTCTAAAGAATATTTGCAATAAAAAAGATTTTCATGTCGCCCGACAAACTTGTTGATGAAAAAGGCCCTTCCACGTGGGTTGCCAACACAAAAGTGGCCCCCGTAAAATTCACGAAGTGATTCTTGTTTCGGAATGAAATTGATGCGAAGGCACGTTTAGGCTTAAAGATAGCAAATAACGTGATTTATGCCCTTTAAAAAGACGTGTATGGTTGAAAAAAAACGTTATGTAATATTAGATATCCCTTAAATCTAGTATCGAGGTCATTCTGAGGGTTTCCAGTATAATATTCAATAGCTTATTAAATTCTCTCTTTACGTACCGTTTAAAAACGAGCAGGAGTGTATTATCAGGTTTAAAAACTACGACTGCGAGTTTTTTGTTGTTGTTGTTTTTTTTTTTCTTAACGATGAGCGGCTTCATAATCTCTATAGGTCAACTCATTGTTGCACTAATTATTAGATTTGGGTTATTTCGGTCTAAAAACAAAACGTTAAAGTGTAGCCGGTACATTCAGTTGTCCACTTTATCAGATATACTACACTCACTCATAAACATTAATTTCTTCATTTTTTTATGAATCATTAAAAAATGAGTTTTTATCTAGTTTTTGAACTAGTTATAAAGCATCATACACAAACCTATTAAATTCAAAACGGACGCGTATATCTAAAACATTAGACACTAGCTTTTAATTAAAGACGAGAGCGGTCAACGAAAAAAATACCGGAGAAGGTGCATTGAATTTTAAAAGGCTAATATCCAAACAATTTAAATTGGCAAAGGACTTTGCAATGTCATCAACATCTGCTACTTTATGTGCTGTTTTGAAGGAACCTGGGAACGAGGTTGGGAACATTGCATTCGTAAGCGTTTCAAATATGACCATCAGTGCAGCTTGAATTTCATGCTTTCTTATATCTTTTTCTTTCTATCTGTCTCCATGCTTATTGTTGTTATTGTTACACTCCGTGGGTTCAGCGAATAAAACGTTCTGCAATACACACTCGTCCGATCCGCTCTCACGCTCGACAAGCCCAAATATCGCAGCCCCATATTTAGAAAGCAGCATGCGGCATCACACTACACTCAAATCAGCTGGGATTTCGATGATATTGTTCCCAGGGCAAGGACGTGCGCCAAATAATTAAAGCAAGCAATTAATTGAGGGAAATTAATGTCTGTAACCTGACAATATGTTATCGAAGCAATCCCAGACATGTCGGCGTCTGACATAGAGTGTTCTAAATTATCTGCAATTGGTATAGGACTTAATGGCGCCGAAACCAATTGTGGAATCGCACACGTTTTAATCTTCACTTTGAATAGAATACAGTTGACTCCCGATAACTCGAACCTCCCACTAACTCGAAGTAATTTTTACTTCCCTTTAGGACATCTCTATATCATTTTACCCTCGGTGTCTCGAACTATGTTTTAAATGCCACTTGTAAACCATTTTTACTTGATCCAAGTGAAATGGCAAAGAGTTTTCCTTTATCGGTGTTTTGTAATGGAATTTAAAGAGTTCCTCTTAGAAAAGATATGCATTTAGCAATGCAAAAAAATTCAAACCTTTGTTCACGAATTTGTGATGTTCTTACGGTGCACGTTTTCAGAAAAAAAAATATATATATATATAAAAAACCTCTCACTTTTCAGATGAGTTCTCCCTAATTGAACATGTTGACTTGACGGGTAAATTGACTGAAAACATATGACGTTTGCTCAACTAAAACTACGCTCCCCGACGTGGTAATATGTTGCCATCGTAACTAATTTATAAATTGGTTGGAGTCTAGCGAAACATTAAGTAATATCATTGTACACCTGTCAACTTACTTTACGTTTGTTACCACACGTTTCTGATAGGTGTGTTAAATAAACAAACGCAATTTATACAACATAAAAACCTTGTGTGTCATTGCGGAAAAGAACACTTTTTGTGAAGCAGTCAAAGTAAGGCATCTCGTCTCCACAGTTAGAAAAATGGTGAACTTGACGGAAGGCGGAAACGTCACTGTCATGAAGACACTGCTTTCTGCAAACATACGTGTAGGTTTCTACATTGCGATAGCAGCTGTAAATATTGTTCTCTCCATCACGGCATCTTTGGGCAACATTCTGATCCTGATTGCTCTTCGCAAAGTGACTTCTATTCATCCGCCGACAAAACTGTTGTTTCAATGCTTGGCCATCACTGATCTTGGAGTTGGTCTCATTTCCCAGCCACTCATGGGTGCCAACTTCCTGGCTGTTTATATTAAAAATCTTGACTTCAAAATTTGGAATATTTCCTTGTACCCTCTACTCTGGTCTTCATCTATCATTTTTAGTGGAGTATCCGGTTTTGCATCAACTGCCCTGAGTGTGGACAGACTTCTCGCCCTGTTTTTGGGGTTGAGGTACAGACACGTTGTAACACTGAAGCGAATTCGTGCAGTTCTTGCCTGTTGTTGGTTAACCGCTCTATTGACTGTGTTGGTTTGGTATTTAAGGGAAAACGCCGCCATGAGTATGATTATGATTTCGTTGACACTTTATCTCATTATCTCGCTGTTCTCGTACACGAAGATCGTCATTAGACTTCGGCAACATCAGTCCAGTGTACGAGACAGTGTTCAGCAAGGACAAGCGAACACAGGAGGAATGCCATTGAACTTAGAACGATATAAAAGAACTGTTGTAAGCGTAGCTTTAGTGCAGCTGGCATTAGTTATATGCTATTTTCCATTTAATATTTTCCTTACTTTTGTTCATCTGAAGGGTATTCACCCCCGTCTTTATTTTATTTTGAATTTTACTGCAACTCTAGTTTTCCTAAACTCGTCTTTAAACCCGTTTCTGTACTGCTGGCGGATCAAAGAAATACGACAAGCAGTGAAAGCCACAATCAGAAGGTTTTGCGCGTGTTTAAGTCAAGGAACATCCACTCTATCTACGAATCAGTAAAAATTATTGTGTAACAGCAGCTCATTCACTCTTGGTAATAGTAGTGTCAACTGAAAACCAATAACTGAAGCTAATAACTTGAAAGAAATCAATAAAAACAATCATGCTTTAAAGGTTTATCGATATAATAATAATAAATAAATAGTACATTTTCACCATGTTCCAGCACCATATTCCTCGTATTAAGAATAATATGTGCGCATTTTATCAAAACTGGTAATTTCCAATCTTTTGGTTTCTTTACTGCTTAACGTTAGTCTGGATTGTTTTTTTTTATTTTTACCCCTGATTCAGACCGTGGGGTGAGTGGGGGGGGGGGTTGCTTTTGAGTCCCCCCATAAAAAGTTGAATAACTTGAAAACCGTTCAATCTTTGACCACCAAACTTAGCGACTTTTCCTAAAATTCATCTGCGCTGGATAATAGACTCGAAATTAATAAGATGTGGAGGGAAACAAGCCAATGCGTAAATTTGAAAGTATTCAATTCATTAACGTCTACTTTGATTCTTAGTCGAATTGGAATTTGAAAATGTTGTTTTTTTAAGGAGAGGGGAAAACCAAAGTACCCGAAAAAATAAAAAACCCTGGGAGCAAAGGAGAGAACCAACAACAAACTCAACCAACCCTCACATGGGTCGACGCCAGGATTTGAACCCGGGCAACATCAGAGGGAGGCTGAGAGTGCTTTACCCCTCCCTTAAAATGGCGATAGATTTATAACCTGCTCAAAACTTAAAGAAATTTTTCCAGAAAGTGGTACTTGAAGATAAGATAGGAGACATTTTGTGGTAAACATCGATCGGAAAAGGAAAATAAATCAAATTAAATCAGATAAGAATTGATCGAAGTGATAAGGGTGGCCTGTTGGTCTGGTAGCATGATTCTCGCTTAGGGTGAGAGAGGTCCGATCCCGGGTTCGACTCCCCGACAGGCCCAAAATCATACTGTGACAGTATCTTACCCTGCGTGTTTTTTTGGATCGAAAGTACGTTTGGTTTGACTTAAAGGGACTCTACGAATGGCTAAAATGGAGTATCAAGATCTTGTTATAGGCTCAACTTTTTCGATTGTTTAGATGTGGCATAAGGGAGCTTACAACGACGGCGACGGCCACGAAGAGGTCAGTCGCTTAAAATGTGAATTCGCTTTACCTCAAACTTAATCCCGCTTGTTCCATCTCGTTTATTCGTCAAACGTTCATTGGCAAATTTGTTTTGGAGTTGAATTCTAAAGGACTTCATCAAGGTTCAGGAAAAAAAAAAAAATAGAAATGTACAAATAAGCGGGACGCACGCACAAAGTTGTTTTGTTGTTTTTTTTTTGGCCAATCTAAACCTATGGCTTTTATGCCGTTCTCGTTGAAGTCGCCGTCGTCGTTGCTTAAGCTCTCTTAACGCATGTGACATCTAAACTCTCAGCAACATAACACGTCGAATTAAAACAGGTTTACCAACAAAACTTTTTAAAAAATGACCAGTTTTTGTATAGGGTCCAAGTATTGATATGAATTTTCCTTTTAGTTTGTAAGACCGTTTTTAACTAACGGAGAGCTTTTTTGAAGGTGATGAGTTTTTTGGCGTAAATGTAAAGCTAGAGAGCCAATCCAGTCGTGTTTCATCAAAAGTAGGCAATTTTCTAAAAACAGCGACGTTTGACGAGAAATAAAAAAAAACTTAATTGGTTTTCCACCCTAAGACGTCTGTGTTCGCGTGCTAGAGAGATCTATAGTGGTGGAGCGATGGACTTAACTTTTTTTTAAAAAAAACGTAGATGGAAAGAGAATTGAAAATATAATAGGCCTATCAATGTTTAAGCTTTTAATTCTTAACAGCGAGACTTACTGACGGTGTAAATAGTGGATAAATACGATTTGGTACAAAGGGAAACATCGCTCACTCGTGCGCCCAAGAGCCACAATGGCTCTTTAGCGCCTTAATTGCAAACTAGGAAATAGGAAATTTGCATACCGTATGGTCACCTTTTCAGCGCAAATATAGCGTGACTGATCTAACAAACCTATTTCTGATCACTCATAATTTTTACGTTTATTTTTTCCTAAGCGGGTTGTTGAATTTATCATCATAGCGCGAGAGAAGAGAGAAGTTGAGGACTGATACACTTTTTTAAACAAACCTGCCACGTAGGTCATCTATCAAACAGATGGTTTTCATAATTTTAAAAGCAATTTCTTGAGATCTCTTTATAACTTCCTTTTCAGCTGGTAATACAGTTGACTCCCGATAACTCGAACCTCTCGCAGAAACATTTGTCAACATAATTGTACACTGTCAACACACACGTTTCTGATAGGTATGTTAATAAACAAACGCCATTCAGACGTGGACATAAAAACCTTGTGTGTTATAGCGGAACAGAACACTTTTTGTGAAGCAGTCAAAGTAAGGCACCTCGTCTCTCAATAACAGCAAGAACAATGGTGAACTTGACGGAAGACGGAAACGTCACTGTGATGAAGACACTGCTTTCTGCAAACGTTCGTGTAGGTTTATACATTGCGATAGCAGCTGTAAATATTGTTTTCTCCATCACGGCATTTCTGGGCAACATTCTGATCCTGATTGCTTTTCGTAAAGTGATTTCTATTCATCCGCCGACAAAGCTGTTGTTTCAATGCTTGGCCATCACTGATCTTGGCGTTGGTCTCATTTCCCAGCCACTCATGGCCACCCTGATACTCCTGGTTGATAATATTGACATCAAAATTTTGAATATCATGTTTTCCCATCTATTCTCGTCTTTATCCCTTACTTTTTGTGGAGTATCAGTTTTTACATCAACTGCCCTGAGTGTGGATAGACTTCTCGCCCTGTTTTGGGGGTTGAGGTACAGACACGTTGTAACACTGAAGCGAGTTCGAGCAGTTCTTCCCTGTGGTTGTTTAACCACTCTATTGACTGTGTTGGTTTGGAATTTTAGGGTAAAAACTGACACTATTATAATTACAATTTTCTTGACACTTTGTCTCATTATCTCGCTGTCCTGTTACACGAATATCGTCCTTAGACTTTGTCAACATCATTCCAAGGTACAAGACAATGCCCAGCGAGGACAAGCGAACACAGGAGGAATTCCATTGAACTTAGAACGATATAAGAGGACTGTTGTAAGCATAGCTTTGGTGCAACTGGCATTATTCATATGCTATTTTCCATTTCTTATTTTCCGTATCGTGACTCATCTGAAGGATATTCACCCTGGCCTATATTTACTTTGGTATTCTCATACTACCACTCTCTTTTTCCTTAACTCGTCTTTAAACCCGGGTCTGTACTGCTGGAGGATCAAAGAAATACGACAAGCAGTGAAAAGCACAATCAGAAGGTTTTGCGCCTGTTTAAGTCAAGGAACATCCACTCTATCTACGAATCAGTAAAAATATTGAATGTGAGACAGCAGGTCATTCTGTCGTGCTAATAGTAGTGTCAAAACCCAATAACTGAAGCTAATAATTTGAAAGATGGATAAAAATCAATAAAAACAATCATGCTTTAAAGGTTTATCGATATTTGAGAAAAAAAAATGATAATAAATAAAAAGAAACTTTTAACCATGTTTTAGCTACCAGCACTATATTCCTCTTATTAAGAATACTGTGCCCATTTCATCAAAAATGGTGTTTCCAAACTTTTGATTTCTTTACTGCGTTAGTCTGGAATTTATGTTATTTTATTAACCCTAATCAGACCGGCACCTCTCCCACCCCTCCCCTTCGCTAAAAAGTTGAATACCTTCGCGTTCAAGCTATGGCCACCAAACTCAGCCACGTTTCCTTAAACTGGACTGGATAATAGACTCGAAATAAGACAAGGAGGGAAAAAAACCAATGTGTGATTGAAAGTATTGAATTCGATAACGCGTACTTAGTGGTTCTTTGCTTACCTGATTCCTAGTCGAATTGGAATTTGAAGGAGAGGGGAAAACCAAAGTACCCGAAGAAAAACCTCTGGGAGCAAAGGCGGGAGAGAACCAACAAGAAACCAAACCAACTCACACATGGCGAATCACGCGGCGTCGATGCCAGGATTTGAAACCAGGCCACATCGGCGGGACGCGGCGAGTGCTCTCACCACTGCGCTACCCTTACCTCTTCCTTAAAATGACGATGGATTTATAACCTGCCCAAAAATTAAGAAAGAAATTTTTCCAGAAAGTAGTACTTGACTATAAGAAACAACAGTTATGCAAAATTTTGGAGGGTAAATTGGGTGTATTATAGTCTATGTGAAAATAGCGAATTGTGAATTTAATTTTCGGGCCTTAAACTTTTCTTGCGGCTCGGGGACTGCCTCTTTCTCAGGCACTTTGTTTTTCGCAACGTGGCGAGCGAGAAACGCGAGTAACACGCGAGTCACTGGTGTCGAAACGTAAGGGACCATGGGAAGGAGAAAAACGAGAAGCCCCGATTTCTACTCCCCGCCTTCCTTTGCGCCCAAAGTTTTATCGAGGGAGAGACGTATGGGTACGAGGCTGGCTCGGAGATTTTTTTGGTTTAAAGTGGCTAGACTGGATTTTTAGTGGCGTGAACCTCCCATTTTTTAGCTTTAACTACGTTGCCTATACTAAGATATAGAAAATAAGAAGTCACCATGTGCAGCTTCATCCGAAAAAAAATACTAAAATTTGTTATGTGCAGTATAGACTGAGAGCAGTCTCTTTATTTCTTCACATTTATTTAGGGGAGTGCCTCTCTCGTCTCGCGCCGTCAGTCACGCGCGTGGACATTTGCGTCTCTCGCGCGTTTTGCTCGACGGACCGATGCCCGCAGTCTATGGGCAGTATTATGTTGACATCAGATTTTTCATAGCTTCGAAATGGCGTTATAACCTATTTTATTTGCAGCCATATTTTCCGGCACTGTTTATTTATTAATTTCTTGTTTTGTTTCCTTCTGTTTTTTGTTTTTTTCAGTCAAAAATCATTCTTGGTAGCTTGTTCCTTGTTCATGCGGTCAACAGCTGCTTATAATGTTTGTATTGAGTTCGCTCGACTAGCTGAAAATGACAAAATCATTTTATGCAAATCTGTCTAATGATGGGGAGGGCTTGTTGCGGAAATAATCTTTTCAGTATTTTTATCTCTAATAGTTACCAAAATAAATTAAAATCAGCCAAAAATCCAAACATAATAGTAATAAAAAAAAATCCGGCTACACGACAATAAATATGGAAAGCACAATGATTAAAGCCGAGGGTTGTTCTTAAAATAAGTGTTTTGAAATTTGACAGTGTTGGAAAGGGTAGCTAACCTTATAATGCTATTCAAAAATGGCGTGCGCAAGAAATTTCCGTTTGAACCATGCTGACTGGGAAAATACAGAACTACTGTTTTCAAAATTCTGTTGCTCGCGGAAATTTTCCAATCGAACGATTAAACTGAAGTCGTGCCCCCCAAGATGGTTATGGATGTTTATGATCTAAAAGAGAAGAGCCGTTTTCTAGTACACATGGAAAGTGAAACTTGGAAACACTAGCTATCGAGATAATTCTTTTGCTTCTTGTGGACAAGCGCATTGGTCTGTAAATAGCTTCAGGGCGTGAAACCTTAATCAATGAGTTTTAGTGGCTTTACAGAATGGCGCGACAATTGCCATTGTATGCACAAGGATATAAAAATGACCTCTCTTTTGCTTTTTGTAAAACCTCGGTTACTTTGACTGACAAAGTATGATCAAGCTAGTTCAAACCCCATTCCCGAAATAAAATGTCCAAATAAGGTAATAAATCGTGGTTCACTCACGCCATACTTTCCGCAGATTATGATAATAACAACGCGTTGACTGAGCATTGTTAATATCGACACACAAGTTCTTCTCTCGTGGATTCGATACTTTTAGCATTCAATGGCCTTGAGTTCGAGCTTGAAAAGGCGTATTTTAAAATAGAATCATATTTTGGTTAATTACACCTCTAATGTCATTGCTTTTCCGGATTTATTTAAGCCTTTAATTAGTAACAAAAATAAAGTTGGTATTATTATGTTTGGCCTCATAACGTTGATATTAAATATTATTTTTTCCGGGTAAAAATATTAATATCTTACGGTAATTTTTATTTACCTCTTAAATTGTGGATGCGGCTCATTGACTCGAAGAAATGCAAATTTTTCACTTTCTACTCGGCTGACTTTTCTGTTAGCCAATGAGAAACACCTTGAGGTTTCGTCGCTTATATAAACAGTTTAATCCGGTCTCAGACTATTAACACGGGCCAAGAGATCTTTGTTAGTTTGGCTGTCGAAAACCACATATAATATTTTACTTTGAAACATGGCTGATGAGGATGTTTCCGCCTTGGTAGTGGATAATGGCTCGGGTATGTGCAAGGCCGGTTTCGCCGGAGACGATGCTCCTCGTGCAGTGTTTCCCTCCATCGTTGGCCGTCCAAGGCATCAGGGTGTGATGGTCGGCATGGGTCAGAAAGACTCCTACGTTGGAGACGAAGCTCAGAGCAAAAGAGGCATTCTAACCCTGAAATATCCCATCGAACACGGCATTGTAACCAACTGGGATGACATGGAGAAGGTAAAATGTGAAATAACTTGTTTATAAGAAAAAGGTTTTAAAACCACAGGTCGAGAAATAACATTATGCGGCGTTTTGTGTTTTAGATCTGGCACCACACCTTCTACAACGAGCTGCGAGTAGCTCCCGAGGAACACCCAGTTTTGCTGACCGAAGCTCCTCTCAATCCAAAAGCCAATAGGGAGAAAATGACCCAGGTAAATAGACTGACCACAAGTAGATATTGTTTATGCCACAGCGTCTTAATTACTAATTTATTATTTACTATGATTTGTGTCTGGTTACTGTTAGTTGCCCACGTAAAATATTTTTAAGGACGGATGCAATTTTCTAATATAACTTCGGTTCCCTTTTCTTAAGACAATACACGCTTTTAAACGTTGTGCGAATGACTGTTAACGCACTGCCGAACTCATATTTTATGGATAATATTAAAGACCTTACGTTGTATGCTACGCTTCTACAGAGGATCAATTCGATGTCGTCAATTTATTTCGAAGTCTTTCCTTAGAAAGTCAGGGGGAGCAAAAGTTTTGATAGGGATGTGAACCAGTGTCTTTAATATGGTTTCCAAATTGCACAACTTAGGTGGAATTCAGAAAGAAGTTCCGCAAATCTGACAGGCCATTAAGAGACTTAAATGTAAATTCACGCTCCACAGAAGAAAGTTCTAAAGTGGATATAAATAGTGTCGAAAGAGTTTTCTGAATTTAATTATGCCTCTGGTTATCCTTACGGAAACTATCTTTTCATTGCCATATTAGGTTAGTCTGCCTCCTGATAGGTCAGAAGGCGAAACGCGACGAAAGGAAAAACCGAGAGTATTAGATATCGCAATTATGAATAAGGAAAAAAAAGGAAAAATGATGCATATATACTCTGCTGGAAATAAAGCAGGGAAAAAATTGCTGTTGACAAATCAATTACAACTTGACAAATGGTGTTTGCTTTCTTTGTTTAAATTCAAATAAGTACATTCATCTTCAAAAACTTGAGGTCTTCTCGGCAATTTCTCACCCACAAACAAACTTGGACAAATGAAACATCTTAGTTTCTTATAATTTGCATTATTACTAATTCCGGGTCAGTTGGCATTATGATATCTCATTCTGCAAAATGAAACAATTCCATAGTACTGTAGTAGATCAGTCTCTGCCTATTGCTACTATTCGTTGTATGTATCATAATTGTAATGATGATAATGACAGTTGGTGTTTGGAATATGAAGGTATATCAGTATAGTTCTCGAAAGCAATTGAAATGAGGATTATGATTTTTCCGCGATGGCAAAGAGTCAAAGAGGCAGCGGCCGGGAGAGGGAGGGTTGACTGATTGTTACTTTAATTGTGTTTTCTTACGTTTTTCTCACCTTTGGATGTCTTTGAAATAAACGAGTTGATTTTTTAACGTCAATAACACTCACACACCATTCCGACAAAATAAGATTGTCCACAAGAAATATTTTTTACTTTGCGTGTTTTATAACTGAAGCTATTTGGGAAAACCTGTTAAATTTAGTATCAGCAGAACAGCCAATTTAACTGTGGAGAATTTCATTTCTTTTAAGTTCAGTTTAATTTCCTCCTGGAGTCCATGTTCTTTCTTCCACCCAACACTGAGGAAAGGCCTGGGACAGATTTCACCTCAGGATTCCAAGTAAACTGACGGAGGGGAGGTAGTGGGCCAAAGAAAAAAGGAAGGGGATTGTGGGTCAATTTTTTAATGAGACATTTTTTTGGGGGGGCGGGGAGGGGGGTACGTTTTAAAGAGTTAGCACATCTGGAGGGGAGTACAAAGACTACAAACACCAACTCTTCTGCCACTCTGTAGTAATAATACACAAACAGTCCCTTAGTGCTGAATATTTTGGAACGTTTTTAATATCGCTGCGCGAAGGATTGAGTCGAATTGTGAGAGCCTCTTGCTGGCCACCCAGTCCATTGAATTGAGGTCAATAATCAGCGCATTTGACCGAAACTAAATGCTTGCCTGTTCATACGACCAAATTACAACAGCCACGAAATGTCGTGATCTGTTTACTACTAGATTTAACCTCTGTAAATATTTCTGTTTCTTTACTCTTTCAGATTATGTTTGAAACCTTCAATTCACCTGCCATGTACGTCGCCATTCAGGCTGTGCTGTCACTATACGCTTCTGGTCGAACAACCGGCATCGTCTTTGACAGTGGTGACGGAGTGAGTCATACGGTTCCGATCTATGAGGGCTACGCTCTTCCCCATGCCATTCTTCGTCTTGACTTGGCTGGTAGAGACTTGACCGACTATCTTATGAAGATTTTAACTGAGCGTGGATACTCCTTCACCACCACTGCCGAACGCGAGATCGTGCGTGACATCAAAGAGAAGCTGTGCTACGTTGCTCTAGATTTCGAACAAGAAATGAGCACCGCCGCTTCCAGCTCCAGCCTGGAGAAGAGCTATGAGCTCCCTGACGGCCAGGTCATCACCATCGGCAATGAGCGATTCAGATGTCCCGAAGCCTTGTTCCAGCCTTCTTTCCTTGGAATGGAATCCGCTGGCATCCATGAGACAACCTACAATTCAATCATGAAATGTGATGTGGATATCCGTAAGGATTTGTACGCCAACACAGTGCTGTCTGGTGGCTCCACCATGTTTCCAGGAATTGCTGACAGAATGCAGAAGGAAATCACAGCTCTGGCTCCACCCACAATGAAGATCAAGATAATTGCCCCTCCCGAGCGTAAATACTCCGTTTGGATTGGTGGATCTATCCTCGCCTCACTGTCCACCTTCCAGCAGATGTGGATCTCCAAGCAAGAATACGATGAATCTGGCCCGTCGATCGTCCACCGCAAATGTTTCTAGATGGCCATGAGGAAAAGAAAAATTATCAACTGAACTTTATGTTCTTCTCATGCAAATATTGATTTTGAACATCATCTGTTTAATAGTTAATAGTTTAATAGTTATAGTATGCGTTGTTTAAAATATACACAGTTTAGGATAAAAACTGCTTCCTTATTCTTTTCTAATGGTATTTCCTCGTCAACTTTTAGTCTGTGATATATATACAGAGTTCTGATCAAAAAGTTGATCAATCTATAGAGCGTTTTCAGTCACGTGGTCAGCAGGTATGCAATTTGCTTAGAATAAAAGAAAGTTTTAACATATGAAAAGAGTTCAATTCCCACATGATTTTTTTTGTACACAAACATGGCCGTTGATTCATGGTTTTGTACACAAATATGGCCGTCGTGATGTCATGTGAAAACGATCTATTAAACCAGTCAAATATATGACCTTCCAAGAGAGTCGAAAAAGCCAATTCAACTCAACCAGTGTGTGGCAAGTTCCCCGTAACCTGAACTCTATTTCAGACGAAAATAAGTGATCTTCCCTATCCTATTTGTAGACCTGTTCCTCTGTTGTCAAGAGACGAATGATAAAACAGTGTCCAATTCGGTCCCTGTCCTTACCCCATTTCCAAATTTTAAACAAGGAGGCTCGGTTCCAAAGTCCAACCCCGTATACCCTTTAGTACCATTATTGACAGAAAAGATATCCCTTTCACATACTACTTGAAAAATCTGCATCCCTTTTAACTGCTCTTAATGCACTGATGTCTTTTAAATGTGAATAAATCACCAGACTAGAAAAATTTCTTGTCTTTTTCACAGCGATAAAATGCGCCCGCTAGAAAGCCCTTTCAGGTCGGCTTTCAAAAGCCGCAATGAAAGATTTCCCTACCCTTTCATATACCTGAGGCCTGAAAAGGGTATCCCTTTTGGGCGGAGCCTCCCCGTATAGTACAAACATTAACCACAAGGGACTGCAAAGGACCGAAAACGGATATGCCGAAGAACGTAGAATCTATAAAGATCTGATAAGCAAAAATAATAACGTAGACATATTAAATTCTGCAAGCAGAATACTGCAATGCTGATCGTACTACGTGAAAATTAAATCTGCAAGACATCAACACGACACCGAAAGAACTCGAAACAGAGCGGGATTGGTGTCGTGTTGATGTCTTGCAGGGTTAATTTTAACGTAATACGATCAGCACTGCTGTATTCTGCTTGCAGAATTTAATATGCCTCCCCGTATAGGCCATTATATGGAGTGCCCCCGCCCCCCCGGAATTTCAGACTTTAACGACTAAAATCTAAACTTAATTTCGTGTCAAACGGGGTCGACAAAAACCATTCCCATATGTCGTCTACCATATCTGTATAGCATGTATATGGGACTGACCTCCAGCCCTGATCTTGATACCTATACAAGAGAAGGGGGCGGATGTACACAGTACGCCCCATGTAAGGGAATGGACAGTCTTCGATTCTGGATTCCACGCTGTGGATTCGGGATTCCAGGTACTGGATTCCAGTATTTGTCAGTACGTAGGGGATTCCGAATTCCTTGAGCTGTATTCCGGATTCCAAAACCCAGGATTCGAGATTCCATAAGCCAAATTTTCACGGATTCCGGATGCAACACTGGGATAAATTTCCCGGATTCCGTTGCTACGATCTAGGCCACGTGATCACTAAGCGAGTCATTTGGATATTTCGGTTCAGATTTTGGCCTTTGATCTGCTTTAAGAAGTTCTGCTGGGAGTTGAGTATTGAAACGTTTCCGTTCTTTTAAACCAATTAACACTAGACATTTTCGAGTTGTTGTTTTTTTTCGCTTATTTTAGGTAAACCCCCGACGTTACGTTAAAATTTTTCAAAAGGTGAGAAAATGTTATCATAAATAGAAGTCACACAACGACCCTCGGACTATCGGCGGTCTATGAGTCTGTTACCATATATAAAAACACAATAGATAGCTTAAGTCAGTAGATTATATAAAGTTTGACTTATTATTTTTTTATACTAATCAGTACAGTATCTATAAATGGTCTATTTTCAGGCTTCTTACTTGTACGGCTCCCTTCAAGATTAACCTTGCCATTAGTATTTATAACAATGATCTAATTTATGATAACTATTTATGAGTCGTGATACCGCTATGCATTATTGCCACTTCCGCTCTTTTGGTTGTAGCTACTCGGGGTATAAATTTGGAGAAGAAATTATTTTGAAGGGGTTTTTTTCTGTTTATTGCTGTAAAGTCATAAATCTCTTCCGTGTGGATTCACGTGGTAAACAAAGCTAGAGTTCAGGGTAAGTAAAACAGTTCCGATGCATACACAAACTCTACAACATTTCCTATTTGCGCCAAATGTTCGATCGATTTCGCTGTTCGTTGATCTTTCATTACAAGAAGCGGTCAAAATTCTAACCAGGAAGCAATGAAAATTCAACTTGGAATCTGAATGAATTAAAACCTGAAGAAAGATAGCGAAGTATTGGCAAACCTAAGAGCATTATTCATAACTGATGCAAATACATGACTGAAGCAATCATGGCATTTCAAGATTTGACTACGAAAATGAAAAGGTAACTGCGATTGATTTAATGAAATGATGTTGATGAAATTTTTTACACTGGTGAGTACGTTCTTTCATAGGAAAGTTCGATTTGTTGATACCGTTAAAACCTAGTCAAAGTTCGAATCCTTCTGAATGCATTATAAGCTTAAGCACACGAAAGTCACGCAAGGGAACTAACTCATCTTATCGTGTAGTATTTGTGTTTACAATGAAATCACGTCATGTTTGAAAAGCTATTGTTCAACGAGTAAAAATCGGACAGAAACTGCGAGAGTTTCGTTTTGTTTTTTGTCTGACGTTCTCTTTATCGTCACGTCATTCTCTCTATATTTTTGGCTTCCTGTATTGCTGTATCAAAGCGAAAACGAAACTTGATGCTGAGGTCACTAAAGCAGGCCTACTGGAACAGACAACTTATCGCCCTATGTTAGGAAATCAAAAAGGTGTTGGATTCTGGACTCCACGCTGCGGATTCCGGAGTGTTTGTCAGTGAAACTTCGATTCTTGATTCCAGTCGTTAGTGGGATCGGGGGGGGGGGAGGTACTCTAGGAATTTCTGGGTGGGGGTGTGCCGCTGGGACCCTGGAACCCTGGAACCGTTAGCCTATACCAGAGCTACAGTAGTTCAGCTGAATTTTGCTACCCTATACTAGACTAAACTCCCTAAATATCCCCCTATCCTAGAGTAGCTTTTAGGCTGAGTTGGGTGAATATAAATTTGCCGATTAGATTTTTTTATATTTTTGAGTGACAATTATTCCAGGTTTTCCTAGTCTACACTAAAATCTTCAACCTATTGATCAGTTTCCTGGAAAATGATACCCTATTCTAGACTTAAACTCAAACTCTCTGATTTATATACCCTATCCCAGAGTGAACAGCTTGAAAACCATACCCTTCACAACGGCACATACCTATGTAGCCCATATCTGGCAGTCCCCCCCCGGGGGGGTGGGATCACTGGATTGCTTGAGTTGTATTCCGGATTTCAGAGCCTAAGATTCCGGATTCCACAATTAAGACAAATATTCCGGAATCCGGATTCCACAAGCAAAAATTTCCCAAATTCTGGAATAACTAAATAAATAATTGCAAAAACAGGATGCAAAAGCTACTCATAAGAAATTTTGGGGCTATGCGTGACTTCGAGTTAGTGTGGTTTCGAATTGCACTATGGGAAAGATCGCTAGCTAGATGACGCGTAACTGGCCAAAATGAGCAATAGTCAATAAACGTTCCCTAGTTATTTAGAGGGTGAGGCTTACGGTTTAATAAATTTGTGACCATTCTTCTGCAATTAAAATTAAGCTGAAGTGTCGTTTGCTAGCAGGCTGTTTCACATGGCAGAGAATCCAGAGGACGCTGGACATGACGTTGGGACAACACCCCCAGCAGAAGAAACAACAGAATTTGATGATGACACAAAAAGAGGTGAGAGGAACAAAGATGGTGATGTCAACTAATAATCCTCAGAATGTACAGTTTTTCTGGGTCTTGTTTAAACACAATCTTGAGTAACATCTTCTTCCCTACAAGAGCTATTCCTTCTAGAGGCATAGCTAGGACTTTTTTACAGAGGAAAAGTGACATTCGCGGATGTGCTGTACGCGTTGTGGGACGGACTCCCTACAAAATGTCCTCTTTTCATCCGACGTTTTCTATTCTCTCTCTCTCTGATTTGAGTTGTAAATGACTAGAAGGATGAATATAAAGAAATACAAAAAAAATGTTACAAGTAAATGAAAGGCATCACTTTGAACATCTTACCGAAGGCCTGGATTCTATATCCCATAATACAGCGACCAGAGGTCCTATATATGTTAGCCATCTTTTTTGTGTATGTAAAGTGGCTTTATTATCCTTATTCTAATGCAGCAATAGCAGAAGTGTACAAGATAGACGGCGACCAGGCAAGCGAGAAAAAAGATTTTATTGAAGCGGTACGGCTTTATAAAGACGCACTTAATGTTCAATGCAAGGATGACAGTTTGAATACTGAGCTGAAGAAAGGTGAGCAAAAGACATCACGTTTGTAAACGCTACCCTGCATGTGATCGCGGAAACAAACAATTGCGTGATCGCTACTATACTACCACTAGCACTAGCAACACAAACTACAGCTACTGCTAACTCTTTTGCTGCTTCTGCTTCTGTCGCTGCCACTACAACCACCACCACCACCATTGCCTCTGTAAGTACCAGTACCAGTACCACTACCACAAGCAGTGCCGCTACCACCACCTCTATTAGGGCAGTCCCGATTGCGCTGGGCACTTTTTCGAGTTTGTAGCACTATTATACATTTCCATCACTCTTGAGCACTGTCTTGACTTTTGACCAGAATCTGAACATTATTTTGCTATTTGGGCAACATTTAAGCACTTTTTTTTTTTTACAATTTTCGGCATGTGTCATACGTTATTTGTCTTCGAAACGTTTTCAGTAAACCGAGTACCTTATATTACATGAAATTTTCGCGAATTTCACGATACCAAAAAAATCGCGAAATTAAAGTGACGCGAACAATGAGTGCCGCGAACATAACGTGAAGCGAAAATTAAGTGTTAAGTGACTCACATTTCCGGGGGGGATATTTCCTTATAAGAGGCTAATGGGGATGTGCCGATGGATGGGATCGCATTTTCACGACCTGATTGACTATAATGGGGTCGCATTTTCAATAGAGTTACTAGAATAAAGTCACACATTCTCGGATTTTTGGGGTAAGAAAGTTCTTTATATTTATGGTAAGCAAACGTACCAGAATGTGGTACTCTAGGTGAGAGGTAAAGTGTTCTTCATTCAATTTAAAAAAAATGGGTCAAAATGGTGTTTCACTTCTAGTTTGGAAAAGTTAAGAAAATCGAGGGTTAAAGCTTTGATAAAACTAAGACTATTTATGAACATCTGCTGGGAAATAACTAAAAACTACGAGCAACTTTCGAGCACTATCTCGAAATTTCAAGCACTTTTTCAAAAATTCACGTACTGTTCGAGCACTTTTTTGCCATGTTTTGAGCACTTTTTGACGAATTTTCCAGCGCAATCGGGACATGCCTCAGCATGCCTAACCACTATCACTACTACTACCAAGACCACTACCACTACCACTATCACCTAACCCTAACCGCAGCCCCTACCACTGACATTGCCAACAACATTCCCAATCCGACTCTTACAGCCACTATCACCACTTCCTTCGCCACTAGCACCACCGCTACCGCTTGCATTACCACTACCTCTACCGCTACCATTGCCTCTACCACCACCTCCTCCACCAGTACCACTACCGCTACGACTGCAGCTGTAAAGCCGAAGGTGACAGTAATAGAGCCTTCAGAGATCTAGCCTATCCTACCAAATCTGCCTTTGATGTTATTTTCGTACAGATGCATCAGATGCGGATCCTTTTCATTCTCTAGTGTTTAAAAGTACGCAAGTTATCGAGAATTTATGACTTGCCTGTGGAATCCTGAAAAATTTTGCTTGGGGAATCCGGAATTCCTGGGCTTTGAAATCCGCAATCCCACTAATCCAGAGTCGACGAGACAGAGACTGAAATCCCGTACCTGAAATCCGGAATCCACGGCGTGGCATCTAGAATCCCAGACTGTCTTGAAATCCCTTATATGGGGCGAGGCACTACACACGATACCCAGTCACAAATGGACTGGGCAAATGGACCATTCTTCCAACAAACAAATCTTACAAACACAACCAGGGTAAAGGGCATTCCCATTTGAAGATGGATTTGAGCTAATTTTGTGTGCTTGTGCAATCAATTCTTTTTAATCAGCTCTAGCAGACGCTTACAAGAATGAAGGCAATAACGCGCACAAAAGGAAAGACTACCCAGCCGCTGTGCACTTCTACTCAGAAGGACTCCAAGTGAACTGTGACGATAACGAGCTGAATGCTAAACTCTACAGCAACAGGGCAACGGCTAATTTCAATCAGAGTAAGCCAGCTTAATTAAAAACAATTCTTGCCAGATGCATCTGTTGCACCGTTTTGATAATTAATTACTGAAACAGATTCCAATTTTCATAACTAATGAATTATTAGATTTACTGATATTTTTTGCTAGTTATATATGTCAAGAAAAGTAATAAGAACATTTTCCTATCTCAAGTATGTCTATGGTGATTGATGTTTCCATGCTTCTTGGGTATTTGCTGACTTCCTATTATACCCCCTCAGGCTAGGCTAAGCACGCACAAAGAAAGCCTCGCAAGCGAATTTAGCAAAATTTAATTAATGTCTCTTGTCCTTTTCATGATTTCAGAAAACTATGAAGAAACGCTAATTGACGTGCAAATTGCCGTTGACTTGCAGCCAACCTATACTAAAGCCATGGAAAGAGGTAGGTACAGTTTCCCATCCCGTCGCTGGCTTCCTTTCCTTCGTGGGTAAACCATAGGTGGAAGGAGCGAAGAAATTGAATGCTGATCACAGGTGACTACTTAGAACTGAGTAGTGCTTTTGATTGGTTGAAGGAAATTTCCCTTCCGGAACGACCAGTCAGAAGTTCGTAGCCAAATCTTGGTAGTGTCACTTCATCTGTATGGAATTCTGCGCATGCGTTCATTCCGCGGACATCATTTCGAAGGTGAAATTGCAAAGGTTGGGTAGGGATTAAGAGAGATGGGTTTTGGTTCCAGTTGACGGGACTTTTGAAAAAGATAGGAATCGAGAAAGCGGCAACAAACTATATAGCAAACTAGAAATGATAAGCTCTTACATCTGTTTTTTGTTGTTGTTTTGTTTGGTCGATGTAGTTGTTGTTGTGGGTTTTTTAACGCTAATTTTTTGGTTTCAGGAGCAAATGCCTGTTTGCAACTTGGTTTATATGGAGAAGCCATTAACTGGTGCGATAAAGGATTGGCAGTATCCTATTGAATTATTCCGTTAACGTCTTTCCAATGCACATGCGTTTTTGTATACACATATATATTTTTTTTCAAAAAGCTGTTTAGCCAAAGCTACTCTTGTCAGTGGCTGTTTAAATATTTACAGTATTTATTCGAATAAGCGCCCAACCTCGAACTAGCGCCCACCTCGAATAAGCACCCATCCTAAAGGCAGAAAAAGTTAATAAACGTCCAGCCTCGAATAAGCGCCCACCCCTCCCCCTCCCGCTCAAACTTAAATTGCAGGTGAAATTGAAATTAAATAAGTACTGATAAGAGACTTCCCCGAAGGTGGAGTTTTCTTCACAGTATTTCACAAAAACCTTGCTTTGTTACATCTTAGCGTTTTGTTATTACCACTTGTCGTTTTGTTCCCAAATATACATACTATACTTGCTGAATATGGTGATAAGCGCCCACTCTCAAGGTCCAAAGATTTATTGAGTGCTCAGGGCAGTTAATCGAATAAATATGGTAATACACATTTTGGCAACTCTGTCGGACATTGGGTTGCTATGGTTACAAGGCATAGCGTCAAAAATAACACGATGTAAGAGCATTTTCCCGAAAAAATGCACGTTTTTTACAATTTTTGGTAAATAACGTACAAAGCAATTCCAAAACCCAATAATGTTTAATAATAACTTTTTTACACCTACTCAATGAAAAGTTTCTAGACTGTTGGTATAAATGTGAATTTTCAGAAAAGCCACTATGGTAGCTTAGATAGCAGCCAAGATGGCGACCATTTTGAATGACGTCAAAACCCCCATCTTATTGCTCTAGTCGTAGGCTATCCATTAGACCTTTAATCTTTGTATAACATTTAATAAAGTCCAAAAGCCAGGGAAGGAGTTCCTACTACCCGCTTCCCTGCCCTTTTGTACCATGATGAGAGTATTGGTCTATTTGTAGTTTTTAGACTTAATTAAGCATATAGTTGTTTAGATTTAACTAAAAAAGATCGACAAGGAAAACAAGACTCTTTCTGAATTGAGGAGCAAGACTATTGCGGAAAGAGACAAACCAAAGGTAATTTTAATCGTTAAAAATGCAGTACCAATTGCACTGATACTACGATTAGAAGAGGAAATCATGCGCAGTATAGACATCCCGAGTGGTGTAAAACCAGCCTAGTCCCTAGGAGTTTTCTCTTGACCCGTTGTCCGCTCGAAGTCTGGGAAAGAGCGGGCGAGTTTCTCTCGGTGACGTCACAGCTCACGGTAAAGTCCAGGATTGACCGGGCCAAGAACACACAGGGACTAGGCTGGTGTAAAACCATTGGCTATCACTAATAGAGATCCGAATTCCATAAAAAACAATACAAAGTTTTCCTTGTAACTTTGGATCAGGTTAGGTTTCTGGGAAACTACTCACCTACCCCTCCCCTAAGCCAACATTAACACTTACTTCTCGTTTAGGGAAAAATGTTGATTTAGGGGAGGCGTAGGTGGGCAGGTTCCCAGAAACCTAACTTGATCCTTTGTTTTCTACCCATTAGTACTTAAACTACTTACTTGCCAAATTTGCAGGAACAGATGACGAGGGATTTCCCTGGGGGATTTTCTACGCCTGGAGGAAGTTTTTCTGGAATCCCTGGACTTGCAGGAGGTTTCCCTGCTGGCACCATTGGAGGAGGGATGTCTGCCGAGGCAATACTTGGAGGTAGTAGAGAGCATTTGGAATTTACATCTGGAGCAGGGTTGTTACGGCCTAATTTTCTTCCACATACAAGCATATCCATACCTCTGCCATGGGACAAAGTGTAAATATGGGCACTAAGAGTCCAAGTTTGAAACATTTGAGGATGGCGCTAAATTTAGAAATTTCCTTGCTCAAAGTGCAAAATGTGTAATCATTTTAAAGATCTTTTACTATATTCTGGTCATCTACTCAGTAGTCGAAAGATGATGATGTTGATGGTGATGACAATGATGGTAGTGGTGATGGTGCTCCTGATGATGATGATGATTCTGGGTGATGGTGGCGATGATGATGATGATGGTGATGACGATAATGATGATGATGATGGTGCTGGTGCTGTTGATGATGCTGGTGATAATTATGATGCTTGATGATAATGATGATGATGATGATGATGATGATGATGATGATGATGCTATTAAGGAAATTAAATCTTACTCCCGATCCTAAGTCTGTATGCAATAATGCTGTAGACTGCAAACTTTGCCTTATCTTGTATATAATAGTTTATTTCTTTCGATTCAATTGTGTTGTATCATTGACCATTTCTAGGAGGTGAAACACCCATTCTGAACGACTTACTGAGTGACAAAGAATTGGTCGCAGCATTCCAGGTTAGTTTATGATCAGTATTGTACATAATGCAAAACGAATTCAGTTAGTAATATAACTGGAGCCGTTGGCAACTTTGCAAGGGTCTGATCGACAATAAAAGATACAATCCTCGTCACATTAAGTTGGGACACTTCGTGCAGTACCCATATTCCGACAAAAAGTTGTGCTCCTTCCCTCCCAGTGTTTAATTTTTTTGCTTCTGTGATGCCAACTCGCAGAAATCAACACTGAGGAGGCAGAAAAAATGACTACTGTCCTAACTAATATGACGAGTATTGTATAGGTTTAATTAAGAAACGGTCCAGATAAGAACGATAGCAACAACGGCAACGAACATGTTGGAATGCAAAAAAGGTGCTAACTTTTCTATTGTCTGTACTTACTTCTGATTGGCTTAAACAGAAAAAGTTAACAAAACTTCATAAAGCAGTACATATATTCATCCTTACTTTCCAACCATCTTCCATACAGTAAAATCTGGTCTCAGTTTGAATAACAAAGAAATCCTATGTGGGGAACATGTAAAATTGTAAACTTTTCTTGGCTATTGTTTTCAACTCTTGTGATTGGTCAAAATCTTTTAACACAAAAAACACCCTTTCGAAGTGGAGTGTAAATGCATTTTATTGCGTAAACGGCCTTCATGTAGGTTTATGCATTCTCTGCGTAAAAATGAGAACATTCCTATGTTGGGAAAGCACCGTTTCCGCTTAACAAAAGAAATTGCTATCCACCTTACCCGGATCATTACTTAAAAGATCAGCCTGTTTGAAATTCACACAAAAAGCGTAACTTCAATTCTTCAATGAACCAAGTGCAGCTCTTGCAGCTGGACTGCTCCATGTAAGGGACCCCGGAAATTTGGCCAGTGGAATCCGGACTCCGGAAAATTTTGCTTGTGGAATTCCGGAATCATGGGCTTCGGAATCCGGAATACAGCTCAAGGAATCCAGAATCCAAGATCTGCTGACAGAGACTGGAATCCAGTATTTGGAATCCTGAAATACATGCTTTGGAATCCAGAGTACCAGAATGTCTTGGATTCCTTTACATGGAGCAATGGACTGCCACATGTTACGTAAATTACCATCTTAGATGGAAGCCCTTTTTGTCTTACTACGCTGCATACTATACCCAAGCGAGTTGTTTTTGTGCCATGTGACCGAACAGGGGAGCATCCAGGATTTTTTTTAGGAGGGGGTGCACTCGTCTCTTGCTCTACTTCAACACCAACAAACCACATAGTTTTTTTTTTGCAGAATACCAGTTGTATTAGAAAATCGCAGGTCATCTCGGGGGGGTGCGCACCCCCTGCACCCTCCCCCTAGATCTGCCTCCGCGGAAGTAGTGGGAAGTGAGTTGTGGGTTTGAATTTTACAATAGTCCAGTGTTGATTGTATCATAATTACAAGGAAAAAAATTGTAGCCGATAAATAAGTCAAAAAGTGAATAAATTTGATTTGCCAATTAAAATATGACGTTATTAAGATGCCGACTATTTGACTTTCAGGATCCTGAAACAATGCAAGCTTTCCAAGATGTCAGCCAAAACCCGTCAAACATAACTAAATACGGAAACAATCCTAAATTAAGAACTATTATTGATAAGTTGGACAAGAAATTTGGTCCCCCAGGAACTGGCCCGCCGCCCGGGAGTGGAAGCGGCTTTTCGGGTGGCTTTTCGGGCGGTATGCCTTTCGGCAACATGTTTGGAGGGCCGTAAATGTTTTCTTTTTAAGTTTCCGCCCTAGAACTGACAACTTCCTCTTCCTTGGGTATTTGATGTGTCACGGTAATTTTAAAATATTATAAAGTTGATAGATAGCCTGTGACGAGGTGTGCAAGATTATGGGCGCTTTCCATTTACGAAAAAAAACCGGAAATTTCGGTGGTAGCAAAAGTGGAATTTCCGATCGGTAAAAAGTTGTTCCATTTGGTCGTAAACCTCGGTACGTGGCCGGGTGCCCGACCGTGGACCTGGAACTGGTACAAACTACAAGAAACGTCAATGGAACACGACATTCCGTTCGGAAATTCCAACCGGGAAAACGGGACCACCTTTTTCGATTTTCCACTTTTTCTGGGAATTTTCCAGTGGGACGAACCGACGAAACGTGGTCCATTTACCGCCGAACCGGAAATTCCGGAAATTTTGACTAAATGGAAAGCGCCCTATATGAATATAATAGAGTGTTGATCTGCATGGTCCAGTTGAGTCACTCAAAATGGCAGCAAAATTCATCGCCGTTTTGAGCGTTTTACTGAAAGATCACATTGATCAAAATAGTGCTGAAGTTAGAATTTTTTTTCACGCTGAACATGTCAAATATTTTACTATTAAAAATTTTCTTGGGGAAGCCTGCTCCGATTGTGCTCGTAAAATGCTTGACAAGACAAGAATGCCGACAAGAATGCCAAAAAGTTGCTGAAAAATAGTAAAAAAAAAATGCAACGTAACTCGTAAATATGGGTGAAACCACAAGTGGTTGCCCAAGCTCACTGTAAAAGCCCTGAGCAACACTGTACTACTTACCTAAGTAATCAATCATAAGACATGAATTATAAATTCCAGGACGTCAATTTGACAATTATTCTTTCTTTCAATAATTGATCGAAATGTGGATTTAGTTTTTCTTTTGAGTTTACCTTTAGGTTGATTACGAAATTCGCATAACTTGAAGTTCTCGGTGAAATCGTTGACTTTTTTGTGTTTGATATGTGCATGCAGTTTGCTCTATAAACCTATATTTTCTCAAAAATTGCTCACAAAGGCAGATTATAATCAAGGTTGCTAGAACCGTAAAAAATTGTTCCCAACGGCAAAAGCTGCTGAAAAGTTGACGAGCACAATCGAGACAGGCCTATTCCTGGCACAAAAAAATGTGTGAAAAGGTCACATTTTCACGTAAAAATAACTTGACCTCATAAGGTCTGAAACTGGTAACATACTAAACATGCTCCTACTAGTAAGAAATGGTTTGAAACAAAAATTAAAAAAACAAAACTCTTTTGGAACAAGCCCTTTAATAGACCCTTCCATGGATTTTTCAACTTTTGACATGGACCAGTTAGGGAAAATCCGTCCGGGAGCCGGTGTTGGGGTTTATATAGTTAGCTAATGGGGATCTGAAACGTACATTTGGGGAAATCCTTTTAGGGCCGTGAAAAATATAAGCGGGAGCTTTATTGTTATTGAGTACCAATGTCGTGAACATAGCAGTGCATAATATGTAGAGTTTCGTTCGAAGAAGGAAAAGAGGGAGCTAAAGCATCAACGACGGCGACGGCTACGAAAACTTCACTCAAAAAGTGAACTTGCGCTGCTTTAAACTTTAATGCGCTTATTCTATCTCGTTTAATTCGTCAAATGCTGGAAAATTTTATGCAGCTGATTTCTAAAAGACTATATCGAAGTTTAGGAAAAGAAAAAAAAAGGCGCTGTCTTGTATTCAGAGCCTTCTAAGATAGTGAAATTTGGCACTTTCACGTCGTAGTCGTCCATCGACGGTAAGTGCAACGTACACGTGAATTCGTTGTTTTGACTGTTTTGCTAATCTGTCAAAACCTATTGCCTTGTTGCCATTCTCGTTCTCGTTACCATCTCTGTCTTCGTTGCTTAAGCTCCATATGCATGTTCTTTAGCGCTATTCAGTCGTACCCTTAGCTCGGAAAAATAATTTACCGCCGAACCGGAAATTCCGGAAATTTTGACTAAATGGAAAGCGCCCTATATGAATATAATAGAGTGTTGATCTGCATGGTCCAGTTGAGTCACTCAAAATGGCAGCAAAATTCATCGCCGTTTTGAGCGTTTTACTGGAAGATCACATTGATCAAAATAGTGCTGAAGTTAGAATTTTTTTTCACGCTGAACATGTCAAATATTTTACTATTAAAAATTTTCTTGGCGAAGCCTGCTCCGATTGTGCTCGTAAAATGCTTGACAAGACAAGAATGCCGACAAGAATGCCAAAAAGTTGCTGAAAAATAGTAAAAAAAAATGCAACGTAACTCGTAAATATGGGTGAAACCACAAGTGGTTGCCCAAGCTCACTGTAAAAGCCCTGAGCAACACTGTACTACTTACCTAAGTAATCAATCATACGACATGAAATATAAATTCCAGGACGTCAATTTGACAATTATTCTTTCTTTCAATAATTGATCGAAATGTGGATTTAGTTTTTCTTTTGAGTTTACCTTTAGGTTGATTACGAAATTCGCATAACTTGAAGTTCTCGGTGAAATCGTTGACTTTTTTGTGTTTGATATGTGCATGCAGTTTGCTCTATAAACCTATATTTTCTCAAAAATTGCTCACAAAGGCAGATTATAATCAAGGTTGCTAGAACCGTAAAAAATTGTTCCCAACGGCAAAAGCTGCTGAAAAGTTGACGAGCACAATCGAGACAGGCCTATTCCTGGCACAAAAATGTGTGGAAAGGTCACATTTTCACGTAAAAATAACTTGACCTCATAAGGTCTGAAACTGGTAACATACTAAACATGCTCCTACTAGTAAGAAATGGTTTGAAACAAAAATTAAAAAAACAAAACTCTTTTGGAACAAGCCCTTTAATAGACCCTTCCATGGATTTTTCAACTTTTGACATGGACCAGTTAGGGAAAATCCGTCCGGGAGCCGGTGTTGGGGTTTATATAGTTAGCTAATGGGGATCTGAAACGTACATTTGGGGAAATCCTTTTAGGGCCGTGAAAAATATAAGCGGGAGCTTTATTGTTATTGAGTACCAATGTCGTGAACATAGCAGTGCATAATATGTAGAGTTTCGTTCGAAGAAGGAAAAGAGGGAGCTAAAGCATCAACGACGGCGACGGCTACGAAAACTTCACTCAAAAAGTGAACTCGCGCTGCTTTAAACTTTAATGCGCTTATTCTATCTCGTTTAATTCGTCAAATGCTGGAAAATTTTATGCAGTTGATTTCTAAAAGACTATATCGAAGTTTAGGAAAAGAACAAAAAAGGCGCTGTCTTGTATTCAGAGCCTTCTAAGATAGTGAAATTTGGCACTTTCACGTCGTAGTCGTCCATCGACGGTAAGTGCAACGTACACGTGAATTCGTTGTTTTGACTGTTTTGCTAATCTGTCAAAACCTATTGCCTTGTTGCCATTCTCGTTCTCGTTACCATCTCTGTCTTCGTTGCTTAAGCTCCATATGCATGTTCTTTAGCGCTATTCAGTCGTACCCTTAGCTCGGAAAAATAATTGAGAGGGTCCGGGGTTATTTTAAGGGAGAATGAACTTGTGTGTTTGTCCTGTAAGGCTTTGCACAAGAATAATTCAACGCACATTCGTCTGCGTGAGAGGTCCGAACATATTTATTCAAGAGTTATGAAGGTGTAGTCTTTACGACGCTAGCCGTGCGTAAACAAAGCTTTTTAAATCTCCTGAGACAAAATGGCCGCCGCGTGACAAAGGTCTATTAGGCAGCCTTGAAAGATTACAAATAAATGTGTTGGAACCTAATAAATTCAGTAGTGTAAATCGCAAATCAATATTTCCTTCATTTTTTCTTTTCCTTTCTTTTTGTCTTTTGTTTTTATTTTATTGATTTTCTTCTTGTCATACATCAAACTTCAACCCCAAGAAACCAAATTTTCTGGCATCGATTAGTTTCCAGTTTCTATAACAATTAGGCTCCGCGCGCGCGGAGCTCCGCTATAAATATTATGTAATCTCCAGTTGCCGTAAACATAAGGATTTGCTTTAAGAAAATCCCGTTAATCAATTTAAATTTCTAATTTAAAAGCGCCCTACCTTATTTTTCGGCGTGCCCTTGCTTCCTGCTGTGTGGTCAAATAAAGTAAGCTTATAACTATGGTAAAACCAAATTGGACAACCCTTCGAACGAAGCCAACTCAAAAGCCAAGTCAGTAACAACATTCTCACAGCCACAATTCCTCCGCAAAATCCAACTGAATATAAAGGGTTTAACTTTCATTGCAAAACTTTTGCCTTGAGTTAGCCAAGCATCAGTTTTTATCTCCCGACGAAACTTTGAAATGTAACAATCCACAACGACTGTTGCAATTGACTTAGTAACCTCGTCACATTACCAAACGAAGACTTACGGGGTACTAGAACGCAATTTGTTCACAAGTATTTCTTTTGGTTACCGGGTCCTCTAACCCAATATCGAAAATATCGCATTATGTCAATGTTTCCTGTTTACAAGTTTTGACAACTATTCCAGCCGGGAAGAGATGTTCAGGCCTTTGGATAGAATTGTAGTGAAACTAATAATAATTATAATAAAATTATTTCTAGGAATTTGCTTCGCCCCCTTCAAAGTGTTGGGACTAAAGTACATATTTCGACGTTGCAGAAATCATAGACTGCGAGCAGTCTCTTTTTTTCTTCAGATTTTGTAAGGGGAGTGCACGCGCGAGCGAGCGTTGAGCGGAGAAGCCGCGAGACGCGAGAAACGAGGGCGGCAGCCTCTCCCGTCTCGCGCCTTCAGTCACGCACGCGGTCATTTGCGTGCCTCGGGCGTTTTGCTCGACGGACCAAGAAAAAAAGAGAGACTGCTCGTAGTCTACAGAAATCAGCACTGCTTGGTAAAGCTAGTATCCTGCGCGAAGGGTGCTCTCTGTCTGAGGTCATTGACTTCATAGAGAAAACAATTTATGACAAGAGCTCCAGTACCAACGTTTACTGTAAGAAATAGATAATAATAATAATAATGATAATAATAATGACGATGACAATGACAACAACAAAAACAATAATAATAATAATAATAATGATAATAATAATAATAATAATAATAATAATAAAGAGTTCAATCATAGGTAATACCAACATAAATTTATTCGATTTTACAGTCTCGTTTGCACTCTTTGAAGTTCAATTCTCAAACTCATTAATAATTCATTAAGAAAATACAAAGGAAATTAATGTTTAATGAGTGTTTGGAAATCGGATGAAACACTGCTTAGTATTTGCATCCTTAATTTCTCCTTCAAAAATGATTTTGTTTGAGAAGAAATATCAAACATTCGACACAGTGTTTCATCACCAGATGAAACACCTCGAAGTTCGTCAAAAATATTCCGCTGCGCGTCATATTTTCAACTCTCTTCTCGGTGTTTCATCTGGTGATGAAACACTGCATCTCATGCTTGATATATTACGTCAACGTTACTACTCATATAATTTCAAATGCAACCTGCCATGTAATCCCTGATGCAACCCACTCTCAGCCTATCTCCATATAGTAATTCATTAATTAACCACTGCCACTCCAGAACATCAGTTTACTAAGTGGTAGCAACTGTCTTCTGCATAAAAAAGTTTAAAGGAGTAGCATTTTGACTACTGATATAAACGTTGCTTTATAGGCATCCAAGGTATTAAAATCACATACAAAATGTCCACGTCTCACGTTGCAATTGGCTCCTTTTTCTGGTTTTCCTATGGCAAATGGAACGCAAATAGACTGACGAATAAATTATGGTTTGGTCGATGGAACAGTTATTGAACCTAACTAAGGCCCCGTCCTGCCACTTGCCCTCTTTTATCTGCAATCGAATGAATTTGTCGTCCGTTTTTAAAAGAAAAACGTTTCGGCCATAGCGTTATACCTTTTGAAATCGTTCTCATCTGACCAACGTAACGCTTTTTGTCTCAAAACGTTTGCCTTCCATCCTGAATGGTCTCAGAAAACCTTAAATCATCCTAAAATTCTCCCTTTATTTCTCCGACATCATCATCAACAACCGTTACCTAATTTTTGTTATTTGGTGGACCGCGATGGATCAGGTACTGTAACGTCATCGTTTTCTAAACCAGTACCTCTTTTCATATGGCAAAAGCAGGCTACAAAAAAACTACGTTTTAATAAATCTCGGCTCTTCTCTCACTAGAGTTATTGAGAAGACGCGTCATTGGTCAACGTAGTTTTCACCATATACCTGTAGACGGGGCCCTAAAAACGGTCAATATAAATCGAGTAAATGCTAGTTAGTGCGAGAAATCTTTAAAGATCAGTAAATCAAAAAAAGAAATGCTAAAAACTATTTATTGTGTAACGGAGTGAGTTCAACTTGTTTTGCAACACTGCTGGCAAAACCAATTGAATAGCGATGATGCGCGTTTTGTTCCCCACGAATTAGAGGGGAAGTCTTACGGCTGTGTAACAACGTTTTTGAGCAGCGAAAGTGAACGGTAAGGGACTTTTTGCACTCCTCGGCCGGAATTTTAAACAAATTCTTCGCAAATCATCTGTATAAGAATAAAGACACTTTGCAATACAAATTTGTTAGCGTCAAGGCATATTAAATGAGAAAAACGCTCACTTGCGGTTAACGTTCGTCGCTCAAAAACGTCACTGCGTAAACTCCCTAAAAACGCTATGGAACTTGAGAAATAACGTGTGAATGAGAAAACCACAGCTTCGTGTCATGCAAATGTGTTTCCCAAGTATTATATCAAACCATATCAAACTTAAAAACAACAAAAGTGAACTTTGAAAAACTGTATAGGCTAAAAAGCATTCAAAAATGACAGTTGCTATCCGTGTAAGTCTTCCGTCTATCAGTGCCACCTTTGGTCTTTAATAACTATGTTACTTATACCTTCTTTTGATGCTTAGTCTGAGGAAACAGCCGACATTTGGCGACGCTACCACTGGTTTCCCCGCCAAATGACGTCTAAGAAACGAGCGGAGAAATTCCATACTGATGACGCGTCACTACCCAGGTCTGGGTAGTACGTCTGATTGGTTGAATTAAATTTCCCACCCTGCACGACCAATCAGAAGCACTAACCAGATCTTGGTATTTACACGTCATCAGTATGGAATTTCTGCGCTCGTTTCTCAGACGTCATTTGGCGGGGAAACCAGTGGTAGCGTCGCCAAATGTCTTGTGTTTTCTCAGGCTAATCAGGGCTTTGAGGGATAATGTTGATGTTTCACTCATACATGTCGCGCAACAAATCAGGTTGTTTTTATGTTGCAAAAAAATGTTGAAGAAATTAGAGGATACTTCTATTTACCAAGGCAAGCTTGTTCTTCAGCAAGTGATGTGACTCCCTCGTGTGGCATGACTCCTGGTAAAGTATTCACGCGCCTTTTAACAACTTGATTTGTTGCAAGACCGTGTGGTAAAACGCGCAACATAGCTTTCCAATCTCCTTTGCATCAATGTTACAAAACAGATTGCACGTTTTTAATTTGTTGCCCGTTTTACCGTAGCTTTAATAAGGAGCTACAACAATGACTATTACATTCGAGAACTCTCTCCAGAAAAAGTTTCTGCTAAGTATATTAGGTGATGTGGTTAGAGTCATTCCGTAAGTATCCCACCACCACCCTTTCCATCTCCTTTTCACCACGTGAATGGAGGTATACGTTAGACCACGTGCTTGAAACTTACTCTTAATGCTATCACGAACTCTTTTAGCGTCATCTCCAGTTATTGAGCCAACTACGCTGCTGATTGATACACCGGGACTGCGAGCGGAATGTTTAGGATACCGAGTGACAACATAGTTAAAACCATGATGTCTGAACTTATAGCTAATACGAGAGCTTGCACCAATAAAAGCGTGTTTATCATAGCCAGTAACATCTCTATATACGGTAACTACCCAATATTGGGTGGGATAAGTATTGACCAAGTGATTTCTTAAAAATATTGCCATGCTGTTGATGCTTTTTCCGCTGTTATCCCTCACAAGCCTCGCGATATCGTCCCCGGCGAGTGTCGCTGAAAAAAAAAATGATTGGATAATACATGATCAAGATATCGTCGTGAATTATATAACACCCTTGAGTTGAGGCGTTTACCTCTCAGGCACTTTTTGGGAGAGATGAGTTCAAGTCATAACTTATTTGCAGCAAGCTTTTTGTCCCTATACGGATATCCCATTTTCCTGTGTTTACCGTCTCTCTACCTATAGAGTGCTTTCACTCACGTGGCCAGCATCTATGCAAATTTATTGGAAAAAAAGAAAGAGTTTCATAAGAAAAGAATTCAAATCCCACAAGACTGGTTTGGGACACCAACATGGCCGCCGTTTCATTGTTTTGGGACACCCAATATGGCCGCCGTGACGTCAAGTGAAAACACTCTATTTTCCCCTGGGTTCACTCAATGGCAAGTTCCGATGGTAAATATTTCTTTGGTGTGTGGCTTTTTCCCAAGGACGTATCAAACCTATTACATCTTCTAAACGATCAGTAGGAACTTGCCATGGCTCGATAAAGTTAAGACCTCTAGAACCAAAACACGTTGTCACCGTTCGGCCAAAAGAATAGTTTATTAAGAGTATATATATCGTTTTTCGACGAACGCCATTGAAATTCCGTATTGCTTTTTTTAATAAAGGCCATGTCCTTGAAATGATCTAACGAAATTCGTCTGGTCCCAGTCATTGTTCAAAAGGTGAGGTGGATAACCACTGAATAATTCTCTGTCCAGTGGCAATTAGTCACGAGAACATGTCCGCTGGATCATAATTTATCCGGTTTTAAAAGCGGCTATCCAACGTTTGAACAACCAATTTTTGCGATAATCAACCAGTAAATTAACACACACCTATAACTTCGCAGTGAGACGAAGCAGGTTATGCGTTCTTCCTTGACATATGTGAATTAGTTTTAGTAAGACGAATTTCATTCCGCTACACAATATTCAAAATGCCTAATCCTTATGGTACTCACGTATATATTTGCAGTTTGATGAGGCGGCTTGCCCATTTTGCCTTGTCCAGACTCCTCCTTTGCAATAAACTTGAGAGTCTCCAAAGCGTTTGTAATCATTGTTACAATGAACTGTGCATGTGTCGTCTTCATATTTTCCTGTGCAATCTGGATAGCCATGCGGAACTGGATAATTGTTAGTACACCTCTGTCTGCATCGTACCATTTTACCACAATTTTGTCTGTGCGCCTGCAAACTGCACCTGCTGTTTCCACTATAACAAAAAGTAAAATGTAGAGTCCTTCATTACATCTGTAGTTCGAAATAGTTGGGTATTTCCAGGTCTTTTTTTTGAAAACCTTTGACACTTTTTTATATTTCTTTACCAAGTATCCGCCTTATCTAGTCTCTGACAAGCAAACCTGAGGCCAGCTATGAAGTGCGCTCATTTTCGCCAGGGCAAATACTGTGAGTCCTGTGGGAGTTGAAGTCTTTTCTTATGTGAACTCTTTCTTTTGTTACAATAAATAAGCGTAGTTCCTGTCACATGAGTGGAAACGCTCTCTATATTCGGGTATTTCTAGACTTCTTTAAGATGTTTGCCTGGAATTTGCAGATACTGTTGTGTTCTGGATGTCGTCTTGGGAATTGTGAGAACCTCTTAAGTGGTTTCTAAAGTTATACTACTACATGAGAAATTTCTGCAATTTGATTGGCTTAGAGCAGTGGTATTTCAGCTTAATTTGAAATACCTACATGTGAAAATTACAAAGATTTTGTGGGTAGTAGTATAAACAAATAATAGGATGATTTGTACGTGATATTTCGCATAAATACGACTCGTGGTATTTCAAAATTGTCTCAAATTTCACTCGGCCAACGGCTCGTGAAATTACGTATAACAATTTTGAAATATCACTCATGGTATTTATGCCAAATATCACTACTAATCATGCTATTGCCTATACAAACTGCTAGATTACATCACCTACCTATTCACAACTGGGCGATATATCAGTTGTCTGCAACAAACCATAAATAAATGAATAAAAACAGGAAATAAAAGTATATTGTTAATGAATGTAATCACACAACCCAAAGTGGATGCAAAAAATAAATCATGTCTTCCTAGCCTGGCCAACCGTCGGTTCTTAGTTCAAATTAGTTGGCAGACCTAAAAAACCATATTAATAGCTTTATATATCACCACAGATGCCTCAATACAATCACTAGTTTGTCATTAAGGGATTTCAATCGTTTCGCAAAGCAGAGGACTTTAAAAACCAAAATAAAAAATTAAAGTAAAGATGGATAAGCAGATACTCACCTTTTACCGTTTACCAAGACAAAATCTCGGGCCGTTCTTAAAGAAAACAGAAAAGGATAATTTAGTTACTAGAGGCTCTATCTCGGTTTCTACAAACTATTATCGAGACTATTATGAATACCTAAATAAGTGTCCCGTGTTTAATAAAACTGGCTTTCTAACAGATTTTGGGCGTTTCAGACGTTAAAGGGCCTGCTTAACTTGCGTAAACGAAGTTCCCCGATGACTGAAGTGTAGCAGTATGGGAATCATGATACTAACTTGTGGTAGTATGGGTTCTACAGTTTTAAGATTGAGAAATTACACATATCTTTGTTGCATTTAGTTTGTATCCTATATTTTGGTAACAATAAGAGATATGTCTGTCGCGTTTATCATGAAGCGAGCTCTGATAATATGAAAACCATTATAGTATGCATCTTTTGGCCACTCTCGTGTGTTCCTCTGGCGACCATTATAACTAAGGGTTCCACTCTATTTTTACTTACGCTGAACATTGGAGTCTATGGTCTGTCCAGCCAGTGCTGATGCTCACAACTGCGGTTTTGAAGTTAAAGCCAAGTTCGTCGCAAATCTCACTGCTCGCGGTCTTTGCCGCTGCCCCTGTTTCCGTGACGCATACTCCTTCCCAGCCATCATCAGTTAATACTTCAACTCTTCCTTCATACATAGTTGGCATCGGTTGAGTCAAGCGTAACTTAGAGCATGTAACCCTTATCCTGGAGTTGCTGGTACTGTGCCTAACATTAGACGGATCATTTATCCCAGCACTTTTGCAGGAAAGATTAAGGATGTTTTGTGCTGGGGTGGACGTAGGGTTTGTCCAAGCTCCATTTTTCCACAGTTGAAGAAAGCCACTGGTTTTACTCCACTGGTTATTCACATTGACGAGTCTAATAGTGAGCTCGCAGGTGTCGTCCACATACCCAATCCATTTTCCATCGCTACACACCCGTCCGCCTTGAGGTATCTCCCAGTCACTTTCCCATCGAGGAAGATACGTCTTTCCATGAAATACGTGACTTGGCAGGTATAAGTTGTCACATTCAAGTTTAACACAATAGCCTTCAAGGGGAGTACTTATCGTGCCGTATGTCTTTGTATGCTTTATGTAATCACAAGGTTCATACGATCCATTATTGATTGGTGGTGGACTCGGGCAGCTTAGCGGCAGGCAATTAGGATCTGACCCGTCCCAGGATTCATATACACAGGTGCGTTCCCTGGATCCGTTAAGCACAAATCCTTTGTGACAGACAAAGTAAGCTTTTGATCCTTCATCATGCCCGTTAGTTGAAATCTCTCCGTTAGTTGGCTTGGTAAGGACAGGGCATTGTTTTATTCTCTTACAAATTGGCAGGGAGGGGATCCATTCTTGGTCTAAGCAAGTTGTGTTTAGTTGATTTTCGTCCCTCTCAATGTTATATCCAGTATTACAGTTCACACTTGCAATGGTACCATGAGCTGGTGCTAAAGCAGAAGTCGATGGAGTGTACTCAGCATTCGAGTTTGGCACCCGCGCTGTGGGGCAAGATCTTTGGAGTCCGTAAGTTATAAGCGTATGGGATACAGCGATTGTCCCGTTACACTTTGTTAATGCGAGAGCGAAAACATAGTGAGAGGAAGCATTAAGAGACGAAACAGTTAAAGATGTTTGACTCTCCACCTGTATTTTTTCCAAGCTCGTGGGTTCGTCTTGTTTAAAATGAACAAGAAACAGCTCGGTCTGTGGATGTGCCAAAAGTTCACTGTTTTGGTTCCATGATAAGCTTACATTGTCGCCTCTCACTGTCACAACTTCCAGGTTCGTTCCGTTCTCGATAAAATTGGCACTTTCTTCTAACTTGTCCAGTATTGTACCGATGCCCGATAAAGCGAAACTTTCCCATATAGTATCATTAAATAAGACTTTAACGTGTTTGTAAGTTTCATTCACGTTCCAGTTTGATATTATAACTGTCAAAAGCTCACCGTGAAAAAGAACAGCGGCCAAGTCAGATGTATTATCTTGTATGTGTAGGTCGTCGCCAACTAAAAAGATGCAAACATTGGTGGAGTTCAAATGAGTCAGTGAGAGGGTGTCCTCAACTTTATCATCTGCATAGTTATCGATAATCTTTAACCCCGAGGCCTTATCTAGTAGATATAAATCTTCTCCTTCACCCCCTACAAGTTTGTCAGCACCGCCAAGGGGAGCCAGTGTGTCGTTTCCTTCAAGACCGTACAGCTTGTTATCAGAATCAGATCCGATCAAAAAGTCATCGTGTATAGTACCGTAAACGTTTTCGATACTCGTATAGATATCTCCCTCTGCATCAGCCTGTTGTCCAAATCCGATATTTAGATCAACAGTGACTCCTTGGCGAAGAAAACCATCACCTTTGAAAGCAAGTGTATCACTGCCATTTCCACCATTTATGTTGTCCGCTCCGTTTCCCCCATAAATGTAGTCATCTCCGTTACCAGTAAATATGACATCATCACCATCACCACCGAAAATTATGTCGTTACCAGCACCACCATAAATCGTATCATTACCTTGCTTTCCATCAAAAATAGTTCCTTGTTGTCCTCCGCGTAGAATGTCGTCTTGAGCGCCACCCTCGATTTCTAATGTTGTGTTGCTTCCTGTCAGGTTGTTAGAAGCGGTAAGGGATCCCCTAAAGTCTAAGGCTGCGGCGATTAAGCTATTCTTTTGTGGATCGATGTTTTGTGGCGAATCAATGATCCTGCGATCAACGGCGATTATCTCTCTGTAAGGATAATTTTTGGAAATATTAAAGACAATCTTGTCCTCTGATATCACCTGGAGATGCTGATACTTATGGCCGCGGAAGTAATCGAGAATTAAAACACTTAGTGAACTGGGTCGTGTATTTGATGCAAGAATGACGTCATTTTGTCCGTGAAAATATACGTGGATATCGTCAAAGTCCGTTCCAATTTGGAGGACGTCTGCCTTGCCGTCTTCCGCATAATTGTTTATTTCATTAAACTCCCCATACCCGTGTTTAAACACGTAGGTATCTGATCCATTCTTTCCTTCCAAGTGCTGGTAATTATAACCATTGCCTGCTCCTGGATCAAGGTAATTGTTAAGTTCATTGCCGTAAATTTTGTAGCTGCAGTGGCTTGATTTTAATTCAAAACGGGCCACATGTTTCCAAGGGTCACTGGTAAGATTGTACTCTATTATTCCCCGGTCACAGCCGGCGTCCGTGCATTGACATTCAGCAGGATCCTTAGATACTTCATATGGCTCGAATGTTCCAGTCGCGTTATCTATTCTAAGTGTAATACCATCGATAGTTCTTATCCCCAGATGTTGGTTGTAAGACGAATTAAACCAGTTGCGGAGTACAACAGTTGGTGTCCCATGACTTGAGAGTACCTTTAAGTCTTTGTTGTTCCTCTGCGGTTGTAAGTTTAGAAACGTTTCCTCTATGTACACTAAATCAACTTTCTTGCGACCGTCATAATTATTGATCGTTGCTTTTTGACATGTTTTCTTGACCACATAATTGTCCGTTCCCTCTCCGCCCTCAAGGAAATCTTCTCCACCAGTGCAGCTTAAAAAGTTGGTTTGTGCATTTCCCACTACGCGATCGTTATATGGCGAATCTGAAACGGTGGCTATGTTGGTGTAACCCGCAGGTTTGACACATGTTGGACTTGGTGAATTGGACAAATCGACACAGACACCAGAGGTGGAAGTTTTGTAATCCAGCATGATTGGAACTTTCATTACACTGTCGTCTTCGCTTGTGGAAACGTTGAAAACAACGTGATCTTTAGACGTGAATAGAATATGTCTATATCGGAATCCTATGGTCCAATTTGTTATGGTAAAGCATGAGCTTTGTGCATTGTCCCTATCGGTTACAGACAGGTCATTGTCTTGTATCTGAACTTCTATCCTATCAAAGGGTACATCGAACACAACAATGTCAGTAGTGTTTAAGAAGTCGTCTGCATTGTTATTGATAACATCGCATCCTTCGCTTTCTCTGATGATGTAGGTGTCTTCATCTTTGCCTCCAGTTAAATGATCAGCTCCACGACCGCCTTCTAGGACGTTATTGACATCGTTACCGATGATGGTATCAGAGCTATTTGACCCCGAAACTTGCTTAACTTGACTGTATTTCGTAGTATTTAATAAAACCGTTTGAGCTGTCTTTGCTGCGCCGAAGTCAAGAGCCACTGCTACACATCGAACGGCATGGATATCTTCGCTATTCAAGGTCTGTTTCGGGACGAAAATGACTCCATCCAGACTGCGAAACGAGACGTGGCGGTAGTAGGTGGGATCTCCAGGAACAAACCAGTTCTTGATTCGAATGTGATGACTCATAGAATAAGAGACGTCAAGATCGGCTCTACTCTGATGACATTGAATACTATCAAAAGCAACGTTTATTACAATGATGTCGCGTTTGTTATCTTCAGCAAAGTTATCTATTATGGTTTTTCCGCCATCTGACTGAATAATGTACAGATCACTTTCTGATCCTCCTGTGACAGTGGACATTTCCGGTCCGAGATAAAAAGTGTCACTACCACCCCTCCCATACAGATTGTAATGGTAATTTCCTGTAACGAACTTAAGGTTGAGATTTCCAAAGTTACAATCTTGGTTCTCTTTGCCGGGCGGTTTGGTTGTGGGCTTTGGATTCTGCACGGCGTAAAATGTATTATTGTTAGAGTTTCCATAATAAGTTCCGTAAACAGATTTCTCATGGAGATTTGCCCCACATATTACATCGTATGACTTAATTGGAATGACGAACCACAGCTTCGCGGTTTCATGCTTGTAGGTGAAAGACCTTGATTCCCCGATCCCAAGGACAATGTCTTTTAGATTAGAACCCACTGTAAATGTCTTGCGTATTGTACTTTGGCTGCCAGAGACATCTCCGATTTCTAAAGTAGCTCGATTGTTGTCATGAAGCCTAAAGTTGATGTAGCCACCAAAACTTGATAGCCTTCCCGATGTGAAATCGATTGTCTCGCCACCCCCTTGTTTGTTTGCAACTATTGTGTAATAATTGTCAGGATTCTTTAAGTCTCGAAGAAGTTTTTTATCGTATTCTACCTGTTTCCTGTAATTCTCCATCTGTCTTCTTAAGCCACCTGTTAGGAAATCTGCAGCTCCCTCCAAGAATCCCTTCACCAGCGCTCCAAGAAACTCTAATCCGGCCCACGGACTTTTCCAATTTATTTTCTCCATTTCCGCCATAATATCAATGTAAAAATCGTCAATAGCCATTCGTATTATTGAAAGGACAATGACTAGAGGCTCTGTGACCACTTCTGCTTCAGGGCAAAATGTTCCCACTAAGCTCAGAACTGTAGTGCTAACGTCAAGTGCTAAATCGATAACACGAAGTGGTAATAGTTTGAGGTCTTCTGGATCATTAAGATTTAAATTAGCAATCTGTTCGATGTCTTGTTCAATGAAGTAGACATCGAACGCAAGTCCAACCACAGGTATGTCGCCAAGTAGCTCACCGACTCCTCTCTCCGCGAACCTTTCCAGTTTAGTGGACAACCTTTCTAACCCTTTTTCTAGATTCAAACCTTTTGCTAACCCTTTGGCCGCACTGCTCAAAACTCTTTTACCAACCTTAGATACTATTTCATTGAGACCAGTTAGTCCCCCTAGTGTATGGGCAGACTGGGCCACGGATATTGCGCCTCGAAGGTTGTCACCCTCTTCGAAGTAGTTAACAGCGCCAAGAACGGAAAATATCAGACCATGAACAGCTAGACCTTTATTGACCTTTGAGTATGCCTCACTAGCTCCAGTCCTCCGAGATTTTGATAGATTGTCCTTGATAAGTTTGGGTGTAGCTAACTCATCAGGGCTTACTTCTAACTGGACATGTTCTCGTTCTTTGGCATTACGGCGGTCTGCCACATCAAACTCCACCTTGTCTTCATCAACTTTGATAGAATCCTCATCGACGACGGTGGAGTCTCTATCGTTTAGTGAACAAGCAAACCGCTTTCTCCTACGTCTTGTCCCTGTGCAGTATCTGGCGACCTTTCTAGCAATAACCTCTCCATCGTGATCTCCAGCGGCACGTTTGCGGATTAAATATGAAGGGACTGTCTCGCTCCCTTGCTTATGTACCAGAACGCGTCCTTGCCTCGTCCCACCTCTTTTTCTCACCGGAAATTCATCTTTGCTGAAGACTTCGTCAATGCGTTTTCGTTTACGTCCGACGTTTTTTAGCATGCCATCGACAACTTCGTCCATCGCGGGACTTCTTCCTGATTTTTTCCCTTTCAGTTTTGCCAGATTAGGAATGTCTTTAGCTTCTGGAAAACTTTTCTGGTCTCTTATCGTTTTTGCTAGGTCCTTTATAAACTTGGTTTTGAACTCATCGGCGGGCTGAGCCGCTTCTGCAACCATTGAGACAACCATAAATTCTACTGTGGCCCGCTTTGTGTCGGCAGATTCTTTACTTTTGCCGGAGATTTTCAGTTTTTTTGAAAAATCAGGCTGACTTTCAAGATCGTTGTCAACGGAATCTAGCATAGCGTTCGCCAGCCTATCACGGTTAGGGAACCTCTTAAGAACGTCATCTACCATTGTGTCGTAATCAGGTGCCCAGACACCACCTTTTCCTTTGCGGCCCCTTCTCGTAGTACCGGGCCAATCAGCATCATTAGTATGGACCAATATCTGGTTTACCCCCCTTGGGGCCTTACTTAAACGAAATTTACTTTCCTCCCCGCCAATTGGAACTTCGAACCTTGTTTGTTTGTTTCCTTGGTTAGGATATAACTCTGGATAAAATTGCAGAAGTTTGAATACCTCCTTCATGGATACCTTATCTGTTTCGTGAACTGTCACCTCTAAGTGTTTTGATTTTCCGGTCCCAACAGTCTCCTCTTCAACAATTTTTGTACTTGAAGTTGCTGATACGTCGGTTTGTTTCAATTTATCCCACTCGTTAATCGCTTTTTGACTGTCTTTAAGAATACTCTGAGTGAGTTCAAATTTCAATTTCGTTTCTCCTTCATCTGCTATGGCCTGACTAAGCTCCTCATCGACTCCTTCCATTTTTGTGTCAATATCCCTACTTGTTGTCTGCAGCCAGTTGGCTGGAGATGGATTTAGGCCGGCCAAGGTGTTCTTTTGCACAGCAGTACCAACCAAAACGTCTCTGGTGGCTCGAAAAGCTTCATCTTGTTCTGACTGAGATACTGTTCCTGTGGTGTCGTGAGTTTGCAACACTGCATCAAAATCAGGCTGATTATTTAACTTTGCATCTAAAGCTTGTGAAGACCAGTCCGGTATCGTATTCCTTAAGGGATTTTTGAGATTGGGGTCGGACAATGTATCAGATGCACCCTGGAGATTAGAAAGATCAACCACCCTGCCGCCTGAGCGAACAGCTTTCAGTGAAAAAGTACCACCGGCTTCATTGGCGAGCTTAAACCTCTGTTCATCGGCTCCAATTGGCACACGGAATTCTGTTGGTTTTGTTTCGTCGCCGTAAAGGAGAGGGTAAAACTGCATATACTGAAACGCTTCTTTTAGGGATAATTGTCCAGTGTTTTCAAAAGTGACGCGTTTTCCTGCCCGGGTATTTGTTTCTGTAACTGCCCTTGGTGTACTTGTCATTAGCTGACCCCATGTTTCCCTTACTTTCTCTTCAACGACTTTTCTGTCAAGGTACTCCTGGACTATTTCAATATCAGTTTTCGGATTTGCGACTGCCCTCTCCACCACCTTATGAGAGACATCCTCAAAAACACCGGCGAAAGGATTTTCTTGAAGTGTGCTTATTTGATGCCCCGCGGTGTCAGGGGCACTATTCAAAAATACGAATGCTGCAAGAAAGAATAAGTTCACCACACCAACCCCCATCCTCGAGGGGCAATTTAATACTCGAAAATCTGAAAAAAAAAAAAGAAATTGTTCCATTAACAAAAAAGCCTTCATACTGAAACTCTCTGTCTGGCTATTGGGATAGCCTTTATATAGTATAAAATTAAGAAGTCAACGCGTGATGCAAATGAGTCGCAATTTGTTTTTTACAACTCTGCCCCCTTCGTGAATTTTGTCTGTCTGAATTCCATAAAACGTGTTTTGATGCTATATTTTTTTAGACAGACCCCTTCTCTTCTCTTCATTATAAGGATGTTTAGTGAGAGCACCTCATACATATAAGTATTGGGTATCTTCTTTTTGTCTTCTGTTTCACTCCATTGTAACTTAAGTGGCCGCATGTACACACCGTTTTTGGTTTATTTTTGATTTATTATTTTTTTTGTAATTCAAAATATCGAGGGGTTTTGAGGGTATAATAGCTTGCTTAACTCCTTGCGTAGCCTTTCATTTATTCTACAAAGATACTGGTAAAGGCTGAATCAAAGTGAGTTCACTCTAAAAAGATATCGTCTCCCTGGGTAAAAATCTTTAACCATGAATTAAAACAAAAATAAAAATAAAAGTTAACTGGACTTGGTTTCCAATGATTTCAAAACTTGTGATTAAAGTAAACCATATTAGTCTTGCCTCTAGGATGTCCTTAATTACGTACAAAATTTTTATACATTTCTATACGAGATGGCGTTGACACATCGGAACGAAGGAAAGTCTTACACTGCTGAATCCTTGGTATATAAACATTTCTTACCTAAAGCGTTTGGCCTTTTTCTTTAACTTACCTTATGCTGAGATTAAAAATTTCAGATCCAGTCTTGAAAAATTCTTGCACCTTCACTGCTTCGCAGTATCTCTTCTTGTGGCGCAACAAGACAAGTTCAAAACTCTTTATGTCATAGCTAAACCAATTATATCAGCCTATCTCAGTTTTACACGTCAAGATTTTGTGGACCGAGTAGTGATCCAAAATATGCATCTATAATGTTCATATTTGTAGGACCAAACCAATCACATGAGACCTTCAAATCCCACGAAATAAAGGACAACAAATGAGTTTGCATTAATCATGAGATAAATTTGGTTCTTCTTCCTCGTCTTCTCACTGATCTTCTTTTTTACATGCCAAATAAAACCATGCATTATGACGTTCTTAAGCTTAATTCTTATATTGACGACGAGCTAATGATTAAGGAAACTTAAGGGGATTCATTACGAGATGTTTGAATTATTTACCAGTGAAATGAGATTTTCCTACTTTCTTTTATTATTTATCTCACTTAACAGAATTTTGTTAACCCGTTACGGTATGTGATTTCCACTGTTTTAGGTAATTAACGAGTGGGTAACCGTGAAAAATTTTCACAGGTACCATCCCCCTGGTGGCTAATAAAGAATTAAAAAGATTTATCCATTGTCAACCATTTAACCGGAATACGACATTTGTTTCTGTTCAAAGTATTTAAGAAGATGCCTTAACTCAACAAGATCATTGATAGATATTTTTACTGTCTTTTCCAAAAGGAAATAACATTTGACTTCTTGACTTTTGTACCAGTAACTGATTGCAGGTGTGTACGGGTGATCCACTGCAACTGGGTCAATATATACTTAGAGTTGTAAATTTAATAATTTTTTAAAAAAAAAAAAAACTATAGACTCAGAGTCGATTGTTCTGTCGAGAAAATTTTTAGTTACTGGCTAGCCATGTTAGAAATCGTGAAAGTTTTGTCTAATAAAGTTGAACGTATTTTTATAGAAAGTGTGATAAAATGATAGTGTTTATAAAAATATATAATCGTCCCCTGTGGTACCTTAAAATGTCTGAATATTTTTCCTCGTTAGCTATGAACAGGTAATTTACTCAATGCAAGCGAGGCTAGAAGAATTAATATCTTGAAGAAACTAATTAAAAATAAGTCCAACGAGGAACGTCACAAATTTTGAGGAAAATTTCCTATCATTTAACCTTTTTGTTTAAATTGTTCATTTTAAAATAATTTGTACCAACAACAAGGCCACCTTCCTTTCAAAAAATGTTTTAAAATTGGATACAGGGCTTCTTGGGAGTTCGTAATAAACATGTATGTCACCAAACTATCGTGAAAGATATAATTATTGACATAAGAGCCGAGTTGTGCGTTTCTCCTCTAGAAAGAGTAATTTCACAAACCGTCGCTTCGATTTACTCTGGACGATGCCATTAGGGGAACTTTGAGGAAGAATAAGTGAAAGTTATTGTCAGTACCTCTTTCTTACAAGAATCTGATCTTTAAACTTATTATTTTTTTTTCCTTAAACAACCGGACATCGATTAAAAGAAGAGCTCTTTATTGGAATTAAACTTAGAAAAATTGGAATACTACATAAGAATCTCGACTGTCTTAAAAATAACAAATTTGACATTAAGAAGAATTTTTGGTGTTATTAGACATAACATTATCAAAAACTCTCAAGGGAAATACCCTTTTAACTAAGGTAAAAGAAAAGCTTTTATGAGTAGATTATGTAGCCGATCAAAACTAGTTCGAAGTTAGAGTTTTTGTCCCCGTTCGTTGCTCGTACACTGTGGCATTTATTTTTAGTTCTTTAGTTTTTTATTGCAAGTTTTCCGTTGTAAGTCCCGGGATACATGACCATTTATTACATCACAGGTTTATGTGAAGTTCTATTTAAGGCAATTTTTTTATTTTGAAAAGCGGGAGCAGAATTACAATCATTCAAAATTTGTGGTGGAACATTTGCCGTACGGAGAGGTCTTATCAAAAAAAAAGGATATGAGCGAGCATAAATGTGAACAGAAAATTCTACAAGCATTTACACAGGTAAAATAGTGAGTTCTTCCTTGTAGAAGGACGTCAACATTTCAAATCATTGACTACTATTTAAAAAAAAAAACACGCAATATTCACACTAAGGAATTTGGATCGATTTCTGTACACAAATAATTTCTTCCACAACGGCGATTGAAAAATTTAGCTACTTCTAGCGGATCTTTTCTCGTTTGGATAATTGAATTATGAACGCAATGATATCTTAAAACATTTTACTGACTACAATATAAAGGCGAGTTAAGCTCTTGAGGGTACTGACAAACAATTTATGTTGGGCAACGATTAGTTACAGTTCTGCAATTGAGCAATCTACCTCTCTTATTTTATTGCCATGAGAGGAGACATGATAGTGATGGAATTCCGGCAGTTGTAAAAGCTATCCAGTGGGGTATTCGCAGAAAACCACAGGGAGAAGGGAAATCACATTAAAACGATGTTTTATTCATTGCAAGATAAAGATGAGTTTGCCAAATTTTACGATTTTAAAAGGGATTGAGAAGTAGTGTTTGCATATAAAAGCCATTACACCAGCCATTACAACTGCTCAAAATGAAAGATCAGGCCATAATTTGCCTTTACCGATTTTTAAATTGAGAGACAGGTCCACGAGCAACGACAGGTGTTTTTACAAAACTGCCCAGCACAGTGAATCAAACTTCAAGATTGAATGTTCGCCAAGACTACTGTGGTATGGCTTTTTGTGAGTAATAGATAGAGAATTGCCTTCATTATATCAGGGGATACCACTGTAACTCTTGCCCTAAGCCTGCGAATAGGATACAGCCACGTAACATCGCTTTTCGTCGCTGGGGAAAGTTTTCCAAAAGACGCCTCCGCATTTTCCTCAAAAATTGGCCAAAGGTTTGCACGTCAGGGATAAGAAGCGTCTGTATTTTGTCTAAACCCATGAATTATCTGTGGAAATTTTATTGTCTTCACGGGAAAATCTAGCGTTAGTATCATTACAGGCTTTTAATGAGACTAACGTCCGGGTGTTGGGGGGCGGGGAGTTGTGGGGTAAAGCAAGGCGAGACAGCGACTACGTCCTGAGTGAGGAACAGTTTCCTCCAGGTCGAATACGCGCTCTTTGACCCTTGACCTAGTATACATCGATACCCCACCGTAGTCAAACGTCTTTAGCTGTGGTTATTTTTTCTTTTTAAACCTGTTACAGTAAAAACCAGCGACTAAAATCCAGCATTTTCCCAAGTTAGCCTAAACAGGTTCTTACATAAATGGAAATTAGCCTAAATTTAGGCAATTTAGGTTTTAGAATAGGTTCTTATTTTCTGAGGAATAAAATAGTGGTAGCTATGAGTACTAAGCGGTATTCAACTTACTCCTTAATACCAAAATCTGCATATCAAACTAGTATTTATGTAAAAATGACTATGGGCTCCTGCTATGAGAAGAAAGACTAAAACACTGACCACATGAATTTTGAAGTCCTTTTGCCCAAGTGTACAAAATTTTAAGAAAGCAAGAACCTGTTTGAAACTTCAGGTTAAACAGGTTCTGGATCAGGGGGCCTGTTTTGATTTCAAAATTTGCCTTCGAGCCCGAAAAGTTTCCAGGCCTTTCGAGAAACGGGCTCCAGATTTGTCCAAATGTTAAACTCCATTCCAAACGAAAACAGATAAGTGATACTTGGCCCTGCACCAGGGGGGGAGAGGGTACTCCTGGGAATTCTTGGTGGGGGTGTGCCGCCCGGTTCTCCAAATCCTGACCCGATCTCAGACCAAAAACTTTAATTTTCACACCCGTTTTCAGACCAGACCTCTAAAATCCATACCCGTTTTCAGACCTGGCCTTTTAGGCAGAATTATGTTTTCATTACTTACATTAGAGCGCAAAGCTTAAAATTCTTCAAATCCATTTCGATTTCGCATATTTTTCTTTCTTTCTTACTCAGTTGAAATTATATAATAATAATAATAATAATAATAATATTAATAATAATGATAATAATAATAATAATCAGTTTATTAAACCCTTTGGTAGTGTATAACACTAAATTACAAGGGAGGTCAAGAATACGCAGAACACATAATTACACATGGCAAGAAGACAAAAACAATTAAATCCTATCGTAACTGTGGGTAACAAAATTACTAAGGCGGTCCGTTCTGACAAAGCGGAATTCAGAACGGGAAAAACCCGACCTCAACCCGTACCCATGAGCGACATTCGTGGGCTGCGGCAGCAGGTGTGAAAGGAACCCGGACTCCTTGATGTTAGATATAAAACTCCTGCAAGCCTCATCACCGCGCGACAACAGTGTAGGCAAGCCACAGCGCACGAGTGCCGACTCATAAGAGCAATCTGGAAAAATGATTCCTAGTGCAGACTTCTGCACGCTTTCCACCAATTGAACCAGACAGTTGGTTAACGCTGCCCACACCGGAGATGCATCACATTCTAAAATGGGCCGCACAAGGCTACAATAAACCTGAATGAGATCAGCTGGTGGGAGGCCTGATTTCATTAAGACACGCAAAACGTAGAGACGCTTGCGTGCTCTCTTCACAATATAGTCGCAGTGAATAGACCATGATAAATTGTGCGACAGATGGACACCGAGCAACTTATAAGATGACACCTGCTCTGTAATACTGCCCGACATCTGTAAGAGAGGCAGGTCGGAGGGCTTGTACTGTAAGAAATCTATGCGTAACTCTTTACATTTGGATGGACTTAGCTTCATACCAATACTACTAGCATAAGAACAAATATCCCTAGCTACAAAGGGCAGCATGCTGGTTGAACATCTAGGAATAATCTCTAAGACTAAGAGATCGTCCACATACTTAACTCTAGTTTTCCAGTCCTTCACTAGGTTGTTGACGAGGATTGCAAACAACAGGGGCGCTAGTCTTGTCCCCTGAGGGATACCGCCCCTTGGAATAACGCTGTTGGACAGAGCACTACCGATTTTGACTTGTTGCGACCTTCCCGTCAAGAAGGCCCCAATCCATCTAATTAAGGCCTAATGCACCCCCAAATCGCGAAGCTCAGATACCAAAACAGAATGATCCACCAGGTCAAATCCTTTGCTAAAGTCGGTAAACAAGATGCGAGCATAGCAATGGCTGTTGTCAAGCGCTTCTAGGATACAGTGAAGCAAGTAAACGAGCGCATGCGTAGTTGATCTACCTGGGAGTGCAAACTGTTTTAGATCAATTTTATCGATGACTTGATTAAATAGGGGGGCTAACATGAAACCCTCAAATATTTTAGCTATTTGAGAAGTTAAAGTAATTGGCCTTAGATCGTTCTTAATACATTTCGGTGATGAACATTTAGGGAGGGGCGTGACTACAGACTCCTTGATCTGATAAGGGATGAATCCTTGCACTAACGACGCATTGTAATTATCAGTAACTACTGGAGCAAGTTCAAAAGCAAATTCCTTCCAAATCTTGTTAGGAACCGCTGAGGGCCCAGGCGATTTATTGTTCTTAACACGGCGCAGGGCTTTATAGCTACTAGAGACATCAACAAGGAACTCCCTTGAGACATCAAGGTTATGATCGAGGTATTGAAACGATAAAGACGTTCATACAATCCCGTGGTTCCCTTAAAAATCATACCCGATTCCAGACCAAAATGGGCAAAGTGTATACCCGTTTTCAGACCAGAACGGAGCAAAAACCCTAACCGGTGGGGCGGCACATACCTATATAGCTTGTATAAGGGAGTACTGCCCTTCCCCCCCCCCCCCGAGGCCCTGCATATTAAAAAACCATAGTGTCTAACATAATATTGTTCACCGGTGAATGTTAAATAAGTATATTAAGTGATGTACCGTAGCTTTTAACAATGTTTTACAGCTGTAGCTGGTCCAGCGGTTATTGGAACTGATTGATACCTATAAAGTTAAACGCGCTGGATAAGGTTCGCCGAACTTAAAGCATTCTAATGTTCCGTAGCTACCCAGCAGAATACTGTAGTTTTAGATTTCTAGAAATACATTCTAAGCGGTGCTATAAAATTTGTATCTGTTCGGTGCACAATCCTTTGTTTTTTGTTCACAAATTGTGACTGAATAAATTGATGCGATAAATTTTTTGGCGAGTAAGTTCAAAATGTTAGGAATGCTATTAAGGGCGGATTAATTTGCAACATGCGCGTATAGCTGTTGCATTTGCCTGTTGGAATTTTTCTTTGGTCTCAAGTGTAAAAACAATAAGAAATAGAATTATTCCCTTAAAGAGATCAGCTCCGCGTCATTTTCTAGGAAGGTACATCAGAGAACCGTTCCTTGTCAAATTCACCAAACCAATTTAACATTTTTATATATAACTTTTATAAAGCAGGGGGACAAGTGGTCCGCTGTTCTTACAGTCACGGTCGGGAATCTTAAACAGTTTTAAGACCAGAAAAAGCTATAGCTATGCGCTTATTTGTCACTGCAGTTTGCGTTTTATTTCTAATCAAGCTTCGTTGGCCTAAGACGAAAAGCATTTATGATTTGGTCATTCATCGTTTTCTTGTTACTCCTACGTAGTCACCTAGTCTACTTTCTATTCATTTCTTTTTTACAGATAAGAGTTGGAGTTTCTGGGAAGTCCCTGTGACATCAACAATAGACCACTTTGATTGGTTTATTTCAATTTCCATTAATTGTTCCTGCCAGACCCAAAATTCGTCCCGTCAGGGGTCCGCAGATATTAAATCTTTTTCGTATCTAACGGGATGAGAGGTAACTTTCCTTTTGGACGGAATTTTTTCTTCTTTTATCAAAAAAGGACCAATTGCAAGTAATATGCGTCAGTAGCATACTTGGATAGACTTTGTTTCAAATATGTCCCTACCTGTCCAATGATCCCTGTTTTTTTAAATTAGTCAGAATACACCATTTGACTGGAGAAACCGAGGCCCATAAAGGCGATGTTACGCGAGACGATTCGCAATGACGATCTTAGAGCAACACAGCGTTGCAATGTTGAAACAATGTTGTAACTATTCCAAACAATGTCGCAACAATGTTGAAACGCTGTGTTGTGCTAAAAATCCTCGTTGCGAATCGTCTCGTGAAACATCACCTTAAGGACGACTAGAAGTACTAGCAGTACGTTAGCCATGAAGTCAATATAATATAAAAAATGATTGTAACATTTCAGGGTGCGTTCGATTGGGAAATCTGGATTTAGATTAAAATTCGGATTTCGGATTTGAAATCGAACGCGAAATCTGAAAACGGATTTCAACGCTGAGATATCTGTTGCTGAATTTCCTTTTTACCGTTTGATTGGGAAATCAAAAAAAAAAGATTCGAAAAACTGTCCTTTAATTAATTAAGAACAGCGGTCTTTCACGCGCACGCATAATTAGCAAAAAGAAGACCGCTGTTCACGAGGATAGTTTTGCAAATCCTTTTTCAGATTTCCTAATCGAACGGTAAAAAGAAAATCCATGAAATCCGGATTTTGATTTCTTAATTGAAATCTAATTTGAGGACGGGTGTCTTGAAAGTGAAATCCATTTTTAGATTTCGCGTTTGATTGCTCTTAGATCTCGCCGGAATTTAATTGCTTTAAGCTATACTGGAGTCAAGATTAAGACTCTAAATACTTAAAGACCAAAAAATAATAAAAAATAAAAAGCTGTCACTGTTCGATGAGCTGTATTTCAATATTTCAGTGGTGTCAGAAGATCTGGAAATGTGCTGTGATTGGTCTACGTCTTTCGCCTTTCAGGTTCAGCAGACGTTCGTGTGGCGGGAACGAGTGATGAACCCTTAAGAACGTCTGTGTGGGATGCTATCGGTTAATGCGCAACCTTCTTGGCTGGGCGTTTCGAATTCGATTACCTGGAGAGGAAGGTGTAAAATGAGCGCAGCGCCGGCCTCAGGTTTGTCAGTCTAATGTGGACCAGTCACCGGCGTGAATAAGGATCTTTACCTATTACCTTTTACCCTTAACATACCAACCATTTGTATCCAACAGAGTTGTGGTAGCAGTTTTTTTTTGGCAAATCTTAATCTTAATACTTGCCCTGTCGTGACGGCAGTAACCGTTGGAAAAAATTCGAACAACCTTTAAAAATGTGGGTAAAATTTATTGCTAATAATTAAAGCAACTAACTAACTAATACTGAACTTTTCTGAAATGTTTCTTGCCAACTTTAGGTAAACTGGTCCAGGAAAAAAATATACATTTCTCCATGTGGCGCAAACAAAGACCGAAGCGATCGTCCAAGTGTTAAGAAGCTCCAGTTAGAAAAAAGTAAAAATAACTAAGAAATAAATAAAGACACAGAATTACCCCAAAAGGTACGGAAAGCTCAGCTTTACTTCATTTTGTTGGCAAGTATATCCGGGAACCGTTCCTCGTCAAATTCACCTAATACTCAATTTTACAAACTTATATTCATTACTTTCATAAAACGAGCGAAAAATGTTTGATACATATTTGAAAATCAACCAAATTTTATTGAGGGTAACACGATTGTATTATTGCCGCCTCATTGGTTAACTAATGACTAAAGTTGCTTGTGGTACCATCAAGCTCTCATTTTGGTAAAAGAAAAATATATCTCGCCACTTTTTTTAAACATGTATCATTATCTTATTATAGTTTCGTAAGTCAAACCAAAACCAAAATATACATAAAAAAAATCACTATCTATATTATCAAAATAGAACTGGGCATCAGGATTCCTCTACAATTTCTTTGTTTATTATTAATGATTCCTTTGTTTAGTTATAGCAAGTGATAGCATTTTTCAACTGATGCTTAAACAAGGAAACGTTTCGTCCTTTTGTGTCTAGGTATGTAAAAACAAATTGACAAATTCATTCTATTTTCCTCTAGGCTTGCCATATACAATAGTTAGTTTCAGCCAATGACTATAAAGGTGCTCTCTGGATAAGCTTTTAACATTATCCCATTGATTTCAAAAGCATCTTTTAGAGACCTTTCACCTATCACCTTTCGCGCTTTCCAGTTCAGTTGTATAAAATTATTTCACCTATTTTCATGGGTAGAGGCTGTCTGCTTAAGCTCATTTCAAACCGTCGTTTCTCTAAATATTTATCAAACATAGTAGCGAGCAAAAATAGTTCATTTAAAATCTTGATACTAAACGTGAAATAAACTTATCTTTCTTTTCGAGACCTGTTTTTGATAAAATTTGCAAAATTTCCAATGCTAAAAGAATTATATTTTCAGAATCAAAGAGGTCAACCAATTCTGTTCTTTGATCGATATTTTTGTTAAAAACAATTGATTTGGAGTCAGTATTGCGGGTAAAGTTGGATATTAAGCGAACTGTATTCAAGCTCATCACAAATAAGCTGACTGTCTCTGCCACCAAGAAACCTTTAGGATACTTTCATCTACCTCTTTGCTTACTCGTTTTCATTTGCTTAGTGGCTTATTGTATTAATGCGCCTGTTATTTAGAGAGAATGGTTGTTACTTATAACAATGAGTTATCAGTAATGAACGATTGATTTCTTTCTTTTTGTTTTTTGTTTTCTTTCTTTTTTAACACGTATATTATTTGTACGCCGCGCCTGTTTTCTGCTTCACCTAAGGATTCAGGGGGTAATTTTTGAAAGACTTACTTTAAAATAAACGTTGAAAGTGTCTTTCTATTTTCTTGTAATTCATTTATCATCAAACTTATACAATATTTTTCCATTGCCCCGTTTTCTTTAACAAGTGGCCACCTGCAAAACACAGCTTCGGGTAGTCGCGAAACAAAGTCGACTGCTGTTGAACAGTTACGGTTGGAAACCTTCAACAGGTAA